GAATGGGGCTTGGTTGTTGGTGCCAGACGGGCTGGTTTGAGCATTTCAAAATCTCCAGTGAGCTGTAGTTGTGTGGACGAAAATGCCTTGTTGATATCGGAGGTCAATAGGCAGACTGGTTGCTGCGGCATTCAGATGATCGGGTCAGAATTTGGCATAAACAACATGAAAGCTTGGATCCGTCCTGCCTTGTATCAATGGTTCAGGCTGGTGGTGATGCAATGGTGTGGGGGAGATTTCCTTGGCACTAGCAAGGTGTACCTAATAAAGTGGCCAGTGAAGCACATCTGGTGGACATGCCCCTTTCTCACCACAATTTGGTCTAAGGATTTACGGTGCATTCATACTCTTTACTATATGAGTTTACAGCACGATCCAAGGATGGCTTTCCTGTTCGATTAGACAGACATCATATCTAAATGCCAACATTTCTATAGCTGGAAAACAAAGCATAGCCTCAGTGTGGAAATCACAACACCTAATCTTCCATGAGGTAAAAATCTGTTTATACGGTTTTATGATCTGCAAAATAATAATCTGTTTACATGGTTTTATGATCGGTGAGATAAAAATCTGTTTACACGGTTTTATGATCGGTGACATAAAAATCTGTTTACATGGTTTTATGATCGGTGAGATAAAAATTTGTTTACATGGTTTTATGATCGGTGAGATAAAAATCTGTTTACATGGTTTTATGATCGGTGAGATAAAAATCTGTTTACATGGTTTTATGATCGGTGAGATAAAAATCTGTTTAAATGATCTGCAAAATAAAAATCTGTTTACATGGTTTTATGATCGATGAGATAAAAATCCGTTTACATGGTTTTATGATCGTGAGATAAAAATCTGTTTACATGGGTTTCTGATCGTGAGATAAAAAATCCGTTTACATGATTTTATGATCGGTGAGATAAAAATCCGTTTACATGGTTTTATGATCGGTGAGATAAAATCTGTTTACATGGGTTTATGATCGTGAGATAAAAATCTGTTTACATGGTTTTATGATCGGCGAGATAAAAATCTGTTTACATGGTTTTATGATCGTGAGATAAAAATCTGTTTACGTGGTTTTATGATTGGTGAGATAAAAATCTGTTTACGTGGTTTTATGATTGGTGAGATAAAAATCTGTTTATACGGTTTTATGATTGTGAGATAAAAAATCTGTTTACGTGGTTTTATGATTGGTGAGATAAAAAAATCTGTTTACATGGTTTTATGATCGGCGAGAAAAAAATCTGTTTACGTGGTTTTATGATTGATGAGATAAAAATCTGTTTATATGGTTTTATGATCGGAGATAAAAATCTGTTTAATGGTTTTATGATCGGCGAGCTAAAAATCTTTTACGTGGTTTTATGATCGTGAGATAAAAATCTGTTTATATGGTTTTATGATCGTGAGATAAAAATCTGTTTACGTGGTTTTATGATCGGTGAGATAATCTGTTTACATGGTTTCATATTCATCGAGAAGTATTTTTATCATCTATGCATGACATATTTCTCAAGATGTGTTCCCTCTGGGTGACCTACGAACTTACTTCCATAAACCAACCGGGAACTGGGTTTGATATTTGGCTCACCATTACCCTGTCCCCTCCCTCTACCTGTGTCCTTTTTTTCTTTTATCTTCTCTTTCTCCTCTTTTCTGTTTCTTCTTCAGCTCCCCCTGCCCCCTATCTCTATGATCTCTTTAGCCTCTTGATCAACGTAACCCCCAACCTATGGCTCACTTACACCACCTTATCCCAGAGCGAAATCCCACCTCTGTCTCCATTTGGTTAATAGTTAGTCTGTTAAGTTGTTGGTCACCATCCCAGGCCCTATAACCATCAGGTCATTTCTAAGGTTCTCGTCTCTGACCTCTGATTCGAGGTTCAGTTATTATGCTTCCTCACTTGGACACACTCATTTTTTCAATGTGATTAATGTGTATTTGGGGCTTTATACACCTTGGCCTTGCTTTTCTTTTTTTTTTTTTTAAGTCTCTACCTGGGATACTGTTTTGCTCCTTTCTATGTACACCATGTTTTAAAAAAACTAACAGGAAAAAAACCCCATTGTGAGTAATCAGATTATACTTGAAATCTTATGGATTATAAAATTCAGGATTTTTGTTTCCTCGTTCTGTCTTGTTAGCAAGGTGTCCTCTACAACTTGGTAAACGCAAGAGATGTTTATTAAACTCTTACTGTACAGGGTGTGTACCTTGTAATGCAGATATGTAAACATCAGCTTGGGTTTACATGTATTTATCGTAAGTGAGGCAGTAAAGATATTTTGTTGTACAAACTCCAGTAAGGTTCAGTTGCACTTTAACTGGCAGTGTACGCAGTATCATATAGCTGCCATAAATATTGTTCTGCTTTTGAATATATTGGTACGTACCAAACATAAATTACTACGCAGTAGGTTAAGGCTTGGCTGCAGGAGGTTTCAAATAGCACAAATGTAAATGGAATAGTTGACGCACAGTTGCTCGTGTGGGGAGAATAGGATTTCATGTTAGTGTAATGAGCAGATACACAACATTTCATTTGCATGGTATCTGTACTTGCCAGTAAGGCTTTCCAGGAGAAATATTCCATGACATTTTAGATGGGAAATGTGTTGTGTAAGAATCTAAAGACACTATCAACTATTTTTTTTTTTTTGCTTACTAGATGCTACTACACTACTCTAATACTTGGGTGCTTTGGTCAATGCTTTCACTGTTGTAAAAGTACAGAAGTGTGTGCCCCTTAAAGATGAAGCCGAAAGATCTAGTGGGAAGTAGCACTGGATCTGAAGGTAGTCTGGATTTTCTGTGTAGAGAACCTCAGTTGTTTGGGTACCAAAAACTTTATTAGGCATCTCCTAGACCATGTTTACTCTCTACTCAATGAAGAACTTTGGGTGAAACTTTAGGTCTAGAAAGAAGTGGAGAATCAATATGGTGAATTGGCAAGTCAGCCAAGTTCAAGCAATCATATTTATCAAAAATGTTAGAGATCAGGTGCGACACTTTTTGATTTCTCGGTCCTTCCCCACCTGGAATTTTCTTCGGGAGTCCCGGGATATTCCCCCAGCGGAACTTTTTTCAATATCTTCAATTGCGGCACTGGCTGCTCTCGCTGCGGGGCACTTCTGCTTTCCCATACCAGAAATCTGCCTTTAAACAGCTTTGCCAGCAGCGTCCGGGCGCCCCGGGCCTTATATCCCTTCTATATGCAGCTCTGAACAGACACTCATCGCATACTTCTCTTTCATATGTTGTTCAGTGGGAGCACGACTTGGGAGTGGCTGTGGATCCGGAGGACTGGAATAGGGCCTGGTCACTCATAGCTAAATGCTCATTCAGTACAACCACGCAGGAGGCTGCCTATAAGGTATTGTTTCGTTGGTATTGGGTTCCGGCTCGTCTGGCCCACGCTAACCCTGCCTGTAGTGATCGATGGTTTCGGGGTTGTGGCCTTCGTGGCGATGTATTGCATATCTGGTGGTCATGCCCGAGGTTGGTTCGTTTTTGGTCTCGTGTGTTTGACCTCCTTTTTACTTTGTATCATCTCTCCATACGCCGGGATGCTCGGTATGCTTTGCTTCATTGCCCCATACCGGGCCTCTTGGCTCATCAGCAGCAGTTGGCTTCCTATTTGTTTTTATCGGCCACTAGAACAATTGCTCAGGCCTGGAGGAGTCCGTTTGTCCTTTTTCAGGGGGTGTGGGACCATATGACCACTATGATGATCAACGAACAGATGTCGAGTATATGCAACGACTCCCAACGTACATTTTTGAAAATATGGGAGCCATGGTTGCAATACGCCTTTCCCACGCTCCCCCCGGCTAGTCTGGGGATGTAACGGCGTTTGGTATTGGCGCTCTTGGACCCCTGCTCTTTGGTTTTTTTTTTTTCTTCTTCTCTTTTTTTTTCTGTTTGTTTTTGGTGTGACAGTGGACAGCTGTCTTTAGTTGTGATAGAGTTACGTTAATGTTATTGTAACTTATGTGCCATTGCTAGCCCCTGTGTGGGCGTACCTTTTGCCTTGTTGGAGTTTGAGCACTGTTTTCTCTATTATGCCCCTTTTTTTTTTTTTATCGGTGCAATTGATAGCCCCTGTGCGGGCGTGTTTTGTTGCCTTTGTTTTATACTGTTTAAAATTAATAAAAATCATTGAAATATAAAAATGTTAGAGATCACTCATTTATACAATGTGGTTATCAAACAAAAGAATCTCCACTGCTCTTTAGCAATATGTATTCAGGTTAATTAAGCCACAGAAAAATAAGTTAGTACTATTACATATTGGAGACACCTGTGTAATGAAAATTGGTACTAATACGAATACTAATGTTCCCATGACACAGAGGCAATGGATGATCATGTATAGCATTTGTTCTTCCAAATAACTTTTTTTTATTGCTGATTATTTGACTTGGTGCAATATGAGAGCTTGTCTTGGCCAGCACCTCTGACTCCCCCCCCGTTTCCTTGTGGTCCTCCTTCAGAGATCACTTAAGATAGCATCACTCGAGCTCGCTTGCTCTCAGACTTGTCAGCAGTCAGCAACTCTCCCTCTTTTCTCCATTCTTGGTCTGGCCCAGCGTCCCACACGATCCTCTCCTCACACCTTTAGCTAGGTTTTCTTGTGAAATCCTGCAATTCAGCCTATGGATTCCACAAAGTTTTTCAACAGAGTCTATGCAACTGGGCTGCAGGTCACTGCCATGTTGTGTCCATTTAACATCCTGCAAACAGTATTTCTGTAGAGTGTTACACCACTTCTGTCTACATTTTAGCTGCATGTGTCTGTTTTCTCTTTTCATGTATATAGACAAAAATAGACATTTCCATTATTTTGCATTAATATCTCCAGGTTGTATATGAAAAAATATATAAAACGTTGTTTGTTGCATAACTAAGGTAACACTAGTGGGATACTATATTTATTCTACCTATAATGTATATAATGTGTGAACCTAGACTGATGCATATCTCCTTGTTTTCAGTCTATGAATAAGAAGATTGATATTATTAAAGGCTTGTTTGTGGCATGCAGGTGTTCTGAAGCACGGTACATTGCTAGGTAAGTCATTTTCCCCAGCAGATAAGCATGTGTGCGATTGCTTTTATTGCCCATTGATTTGTTAAAGGTTGCGGTAATTTGTTAGCATGGACTCAAGCCTCAGATAAGATTGTGTCTGATGGGGGGTTGCATGACCATCTTCAAACTAGTTAATGGCAGCAGTGTTTAACCCCTGACACCAACGTCACACAAATATGCGGCCTCACGGAACTGGGCTTTTTTTCCGTAGGGCCGCATATTTGCTTACCTGTCTTTGTGCTGGGAATGCGCCGCTTGGCGCGCTCCCAGCACAAAGACCGCGGTGTCAATGAGAGCCCCGGGTCTCGTTCTAACGACCAGGACTCCTGATTCCGGGTCACATGACCGCTGTGATAGCCTCTGAGTGGCTATCACAGTGATCAGTCACTGTACAGCCCGGCCCACTTGCTTTTTTCTCTCTCTATGAATGGAGAAGAGAGATACATTGTATCTCTCTAACTCCTGACATAGAGAGAAAAAAAAAAGTTTGTTAAAAAAAAAGATAAATATTAAAAAATAAAGAAAAATACCTAGATCAAAGTTTGATCTAGTTCAGTGGCAGGGTTAGTGTTTGGGTCAAGGTCAAAGTTCAGGATTTAAAAATTGGTGTCAGTGTGTTTTAGGTAAAAAAAAAAAAAAAAAAAAAATGCGCACTATTGTTTCTGGGCTGTACTACGGGTACAAACAACAAATAACATACGCATATGTTGTATTGCTGCGATCGTCAGGAGCTGGAGAATTTATTTTGGGTTGTTCTTTGGAGGTAGGTTATGGTCGTAACAAGAAACACAGCTAAATGAAAAAAAAACTTTTTTTTTTACTATTTTGGGCCAGTTTTCCTTTGATAATAAAAAAAAAAAATCAGGAGCTATCCATTACCATTTATTACCAAATGAAAGCCCAATTTTTCCTGAAAAAATCAAGATATAATCCACCTGGATGTACAAAGTAGTTGTGATGATATGTACGATTTTACTAACACATCAATGTTGCAGAATTGTGCTTAGGCATTTAGATTTGTTTTACCCTTAGGCGTGAAGGGGTTAAGTTGAATTTCTCCTGTTCAAAGGCGCTAAGGAGCTAGAGATTTGTTTAAGGCGGGAAAGGAGCTATGGAAACAGAGCATAAAGAACACCTGCTAGAGAGAGAAGGATCCAGCTTGTTTTGCTTACTTCCAGAAAATGCTAGTTACCTGGCTGTCCCTGGATTCTATGTTTTGTCATTGTTGAGATGTTCACTAATGCAGCATACAGATTTCCTAAAAATCTGGATGATAGTTGTAGACATTATTTTATCCCATTCAGGGGCATGTTTGTTGTATGCAGGTTTTCTCTGAAGTTGCTAGACAACTATTGTATATCTATAAAACTGTTTTTGTGTTCTTATTATTAGGCTTTTTTTTTTTTTGTTTCATTCAGATCTTTAGGAGGGAAACTTCGAATAGGATTGGCAGAGCTGTCTGTTCTGGCAGCTATCGCACAAGCTGTGTGCCTTACACCACCAGGCCAAGGTATGATCTGCAGTACTAGACACACGCATGCTCTGTTGTAGAGAGACAGCATCTCTATTGCATGATTTCAGTGTTCAGGCTTCTCTGTGAACATGCTTGTGATGTGACATCCTGCTCCATCAGTAGTTGCCTACTTACCTCTATCCCCTTATTATAATCTTAGTGGCCTTCCGGGTCCTGTCGTATGTATTGAAATAAAGAGAGATGGTTCTCAAGTTCGTATGTGTTTTAGTTCTAAAGTGATGAATTTCAGGAGCCCTATCCAAATGACTAATTGACAAAAGTGAGATAATGTCAAATGCACTGGATTTTTGCGTAGTTTTCAATGTCCTTTTTCAAGATCACCACACAGACAAACACAGATGCATTGTTGACTACGTTTCTGTAACATATAAATATACCCAATAATAGAAAATATCACAGTTAGAAGGATAATTGTCATTTACAGCTGTTAAAGCAGTTGTAAACGCTTGCATATACCCAGTGAAGTGACTGGCCTCAGGTGATACACAGAGATGAAACAAATCCTCCTTTTCTTCTCTACATTCATTCAAAGTGCTGAGTTTATTAAACTTGTCTGAGAGGTCAGAAAACCGGGCAGAGAGCTGAATTTACACAGTGCAGAGCTCACAGAGGAGAATTCTGACAGCTGATTGGAGGGAGCCTTTACTCAGCTCACAGGAACAGAGCTGAGGCTGTCAATCTGCTGGATGTCCCTCCTGTCACCATTTTTCTTTTGGTGTCCAGAAAACTTGTCAGAAGTGATTTATGCTGATAGCAGAGGAACGAGGCACCAGACAGAAATGACACTTATTGCTCTGATAGAGACGAGTAAATTCATAAGTAGGAGAATTAATGTGATTTGTGTCACTTGCCTCATTTTAGTTACTTCAAAGAACAGTGTGCTGCTAAATTTGTGATGCTTTTCACACATATTTATATAAAAAATTTTGTTTACATTGAAATTCTTTATAGATTTGAGGTTACAGTTTTAAATACAGTGTGCATAACCATTAGACATTTGCTGGATTTGTGCTTTGAATAGCACCTAAAATGTCATCTAAAGCTCTACCTCTGTCATGATAAACACATACACATAATTTATATTGCCCTATCTTTCTTAAATCTTTTAAATAAACTTGATTGAAAAAAGTATGGATATTTTTAATAACGGCATCTTGGAATGCGTAATTTAAGCCAGCCATAGACAGTTATTTTTTTTGTAATTCAGCCAGTGGGTTCATCAAGGTGGGTGGAAAATCCAGTAACCCCCTACCCCCCCCTTTCCCGGGCACCCAACCAGGGACCCGTTTCTAATTAAGCAGTTTTCCCAGCATACCTCGATAGAATAAAACTAAAATAGTTTATTACCTTCAAATAGGTATATACCTTCACAATTAATAAGCATATACTTAAATCTGTGCAAAAACAAAAAAAGATTCAACTGTAACACATGAATCATGCAAATCACTCCGTGTACACTATAATAAACTAATAATTAGTGACAAGCTGTGTACACTCAAAAAATAAATAAAAAAACAATTAAAAAAATATAAAATAAATAAACAAACCAAATTAATTAAAATTAATTACACCAAGAAAAATAATATAAAGCAAATAAAAATAAAAAATATATATATAAATATAAAGGTGAACACTCCGTGAACACTTCTATAGGGCAAAAATGCACACAATTACCCTCATGGAGTAATATCAAGCCTTAAGGGATATTCAGATGTTTAGCAGTCACTTTCAGGCTCTCAATAGCTGTATATAGGGTAAGCCTTTAATACACCATCATCCTCATAAAAGATAGAAAAGAGCCCATATAGCATGATATAATAGGTACCAAACCATTTAATATAGCATCTTACATTAGGGACTTGAACAATCTGTAATATATTCCCATGACTCAGCCACAGCAGCTTCCTAGGATGTAAAACATGTTTTCCAGTAATCAAAATGGCCGGCCGCCACTTCCGTTTTTTGCGCAATTACGGCAGACGTCACGTCCACTGACGCGTTTCGTCACTTCCGGACTTCTGAAGATTATAAGTTGGGTATCCACTATGTGAGTTTTATTTAGTTTTGTAAGTTGCTGAGTGAATATTTATTTAATAGTTTTCCCAGCATGTCTCTTCAACAGAAGTTGATTATTCGGTTGATTTCAGTCAACCGGGGACAGCTACACACTGATCAAAATTTGGCTGACTCATGCTGAACCGTCTGAATTTCAGTTCGAGTATGGCCAGCATAAATCCCCTACTGAATTACAAATAATTAGACAGAATTTCATTAACCTACTACTCACAGCAAAGCTATTTAGATTTTAAAATTAACTGATCTCAAAAGATTTTAGGATGGACTTTGAAGAACAAGCCAAAGCTCATAATATTTTAAAACGCTTTCTAAAGACTTGGGCCTCCATCAGTCCATTGGTAGTCTACAGTCTGAAAAAATCAGCACCTTTACTACTTTCCTTTGGGAATGAATACCTTACACACCTGTGCAAGGAAATACTGCACAATCCTAAACTAGATATAAAGAACCCTAGGGTGACAGACATCTCTAAAACCTGATAATGTTTATGTGGCTTTCATAGGACAACTGTAGCCAATGAGAGATAATAAGAGGAAGGCACTGTTGGCTAAGGACCACCTGGATGTTTTGTGTCACTGCTATGGACAGTTGAATAAGTCAACAGGCTTATGTTCGAAGTAAGGAAATCATTTCAGATAAACACTCATGCTCTCTTTTAACCCTTTCGCTGCCAGGCCCTGCTCTCCACTTTTAAACTCAGGTGGCCAGACCATTTTTAAAATTTTTCCAGTGCTTTTTTCTTTTTCTTTTACAGTTTCCGAAAGCCCCCCCCAAACCATATATTTTCTTAAAGTACATGACCAGCAGAGTAAAAACAAGGTGCTACTGATTTTTTACGGCCTGTGAAATTTGCGCAAGTGATTTTCAAATCAATTATTTTGTTAAAAATGCACTAAAATCATTCTTTGCAGATAAAAACAGAAAATTTTACACAATTCCTGATAAGTTCTAACTAAATATAAAGGCTTAACCTGTATTTATTGAGTAGTAAAAAACAAATATTTGTAAATTTTAAATTGCGCCTTTTTTGGAAATGGTGAAAATCGAACGTACGCAAAACTCTAAATAACCAAATTTCTCTAAAAAATCAGGATATTTTTCTTTTACAGCTTGCAGAGTTTGTAAAAGACCCCTCAAACCAGTATGACCCACATGAACAAAGCCGTAGGCCTTGTTTACAAATGCAAGGTTGAGCTGAGTTTCTTCCGCCCGGCAACCGCCCCCCATAAGCTGTAATAGGCAGTGATGGGGGTTGTTTACATGCTACGGCTGCGAAGCTTCGCTTTGCGCTCATGGCAAAGTTGACCCGACTTGCAGTGATGCCCCTTTCCGAATGCAACACATTCAAGTCAATTGGGAAGTGCCACAAAGGCCCCACGACTGTGTGCAGTGCAAGCGGTTGCAGGGCATTTTTCAGCAAAAATGGGGTAAAAACAGATGGTGAGAAGGCTTGAATCGCTTCCTCACCGCCTGTTAGCCTCTGGAGCACGATCCGAACGCGGATTTGGCTTCAGCGGCAAGGGAGATTTAGACTTATGTTTTTTATTTTTATTATTTTTTTTTTACAATTTTATTTATTTTTTACATATTTTCTTTTGATTTTGTTAATATTTGTACATATTTTTGTGTGTGTCAGTGATGAATGAACAGATTGATCGCTACTGATCGCTTTGTAAATTTAAGAAATAAAAGGGGCTGGTAAATGTTTATCGTTTTGTTCAGAATCTGCTGAACATTTCTGCTATAAGCTTATTGCAGAGGAAGAATGTAGGTCTGTATGGTGTATGGACCTGGCCTTCTGGAAGCTGTGCTGTTGGTCTGTACACCTAACGGACCTGGCAGCGAAAGGTTTAAACATGATGGAGGGCACGCAAAGCTGTTTTATGACTAAGAGCCTGGTTGGTTTGCAATTGTTGACGAACCATTCGATTTCAGGTTTTATCAGAAACTCTTCAGCAGCATGTTGGGGTATTCATCTGTGGTCCAAAACAAGTGGGGTAATGCCAGGAGATATACAGTTGTGTTCAAAATAATAGCAGTCAGAAATCACTAACCTGATCAAACACTGTTTTTGGTAGAAATGATATTTCTACATGGCAAATAATTTACTAGCAGGTGTAGTAGAGTAATAGAAATCCAACAGACCCAACAGTCATGACATGCATGCTGCTGATTCTGTGTAATTGAATCACTAATTGAAAGGGGCATGTTCAAAATAATAGCAGTGTGGAGTTCTATTAGTGAGGTCATTCATTCTTTGAAAAACAGGTGGCAATTATTGCCCTTATTTAAGGAAGGAAGGCAGCAAATGTTGTACATGCTGGTTACAGTGCATTTCTCTCTGAAATTCTGAGGAAAATGGGTTGTTCCAGACATTGTTCAGAAGAACAGCGTACCTTGAGTAAAACGTTGATTGGAGAGGGGAAATCATATAAAGAAGTGCAGAAAATGATAGGCTGCTCAGCTAAAATGATCACAAATGCTTTAAAATGGCAACCAAAACCTGAAAGACGTGGAAGAAAGCGAAAAGCTACCATTGGAATGGATAGAAAAATAGCCAAAATGGCAAGGACTCAGCCAACAATCAGCTCCAGGAAGATCAAAGAAGGTGTAAAGTTACCTGTGAGTACTGTTACAATTAGAAGATGCCTATGTGAAGCCAAGCTATCTGCAAGAAGCCCCCGCAAAGTCCAACTGTTGAAAAAAAGACATGTGCTGAAGAGGTTACAATTTGCCAAAGAGCACATTGACTGGCCTAAAGAGAAATGGCGCAACATTTTGTGGACTGATGAAAGTAAGATTGTTCTTTTTGGGTCTAGTGGCCGGAGACAGTTTGTCAGACGACCCCCAAACACTGAATTCAAGCCACGGTACACTGTGAAGACAGTGAAGCATGGTTGTGCAAGCATCATGATATGGGGATGTTTCTCATACTACGGTGTTGGGCCTATTTATCACATACCAGGGATCATGGATCAGTTTGAATACATCAGAATACTTGAAGAGGTCATGATGCCTTATGCTGAAGAGGAAATGCCCTTGAAATGGGTGTTCCAACAAGACAACGACCCCAAACACACCAGTAAACGTGCAACATCTTGGTTCCAGACCAACAAGATTGACGTTATGGAGTGGCCAGCCCAATCCCCGGATCTTAATCCAATAGAAAACTTGTGGGGTGACATCAAAAATGCAGTTTCTGAGGCAAAACCAAGAAATAGAGAAGAACTGTGGAATGTAGTCCAATCATCCTGGGCTGGAATACCTGTTCACAGGTGCCAGAAGTTGGTTGACTCCATGCAACACAGATGTACAGCAGTTCTCAGAAACAGTGCGACTACAACTAAATATTAAGTGATTCAAAGGAAAGCAAAATCTTCAAACATTTTTCAGTTTATATAGTGAATGTTTGAGTTTGTAAAGAAGAATACAAACACTGCTATTTTTTTGAACAGTCTAATATTCACTTTTCTTTTTAGAGGAACAACACAAATTTGATATATTTTTCTTCATGTTTTGATTTGGAATAGAATGTGTAGTGTTCCCAATGCATTTGAGTGTATAGAAATAAAAGCTATTAGAAGGATTTTGAGCTTTATTCACTTTTTTCAACACACTGCTATTATTTTGAACACAACTGTATATTTTCCATCAATGACCTTCTTTGCAGCTCTGTGGGTTGTTAAAAGCTCACAGGGATCCATATTGAGGCTCGAGCACACTTCTATCCTTACACAAAGGCCTTTATAGGATAGAGGTGTGCTCGAGCCTCAATCTGGCTCCCTGTGAGCTTTTAACCACCCACAGAGCTGCATGAGGAGAGTGACAGAGCCATTGCTGACAGCAGAGGAAGCAGTGAGGGAACATCAGACCAGACCATACTCACCTTTAAGGGGCCTCCAGTTGATCTACTGAGAGTGTTATCTCTAAATGCGCTATTTGATTGCGCATCTGGTGAGTGCGCAGTCTTTACATTATTGGACACATCACCATAATACCTTATAGAACACCAGCAATTGAAGATTTAGATCTTCCATACACCTATCTCTGGACATTAATATTATTTTTCCAGCACTATATTAAGCACCATTGGTCACTATTTAGTGACAGAGATATACGTTACCACTAAGTCACTTTATTTTGTTGATATAAGAGCACCTTATCACTGCTCACTTTATTGAATGTTCTCATTTATTTATTTTCATTATTTATTATATATGTGGTTATATTTTGACACTTGGCAATTTTAAGGTTTTAGCGCTGCACCCATTTCATACTGATGCTTTGGAGGTTTTTTGGTACCTTTTTTGGTGTTCCAGCTGCTCGGTTGACTTTAGTGCTCACTTACCTCTAGACTTTAGTGCTCACTTACCTAACAAAAAATACTTTAATTTTACATATCAGTTGTTTTATCTTTCCACAGAGTTTCCACCAGCTGTGATAGATGCCTCGAAGGGAATGAGCACAGAGGCCAAAAAAGCATGGATTGAGGAGCATGCTTTGATCCTGAAACAGACATTCTGGTTAGTGTCTTATTTAGAGCACATTTAAGTCAGTGGTGACTCAAATAATGTTCCGTGCTAATGTTTGTTTGCAACATTATGAGAATATTTTTGGCTCACTAGGTATAAATTAACTCCTTTTCTAATTTGTTGCTAATGCTGAATCTCTCAAATTGGATTTGAAAATTTTGGTATTTATCATTTCTGGTGTAAGCTAGCAAAAACACGAGTACTGTCTGTGATACTTTCTTTTTTTTTGCACTATTTTGAACCACAATCGCCTCTCAGCACAATGTAGGTGCTGAGAGGCGCAGCGGCGCGATCTGTCACCAGCCGTGTACCTCGGACACGTCCAATGACAGATCTAAGTACCAGCCCCCGTTCCTGGTACCATGTGACCTGCTGTGACCAATCACAGCAGGTCACATGACACTTGTATACAATGGATGGCTTAATTCATGCCATCCATTGTATACTAGTGAGTAGCTGTGAATGGTCACAGCTAATCACATGCACATGTCATGTGATTAGCTGTGACCAAATCACAGCTAAGCACAAAAAAAAAAAAAAAACCTGAATGAATCGATTTCATTCTGGTAAATGCTTGCTTATAGCAAAGTAATTCTTTGCTATAAGCAAATTGTGTAAAAAAAAAAAAAAAAAAAAAAATACTGATCACTTCCTACTGTGATACACTTTACTATGGTAACATTGTACTACTTTGGTCATAGTAAAATAAAAAGTCAGTCAGTGTCCCTGTTCACCGCCATGCCAGTTATATGGTAACGCTGTACTGCACTGGTGACAGTATGTAAAAAAAAAATAGTGAAAATAATTTTTTTCATTTTCCGAAAAATTATGACAAAAAAAATACAACTTCAAAAAACTCGCCATTCCTCTTATGAAGTACGTCAGACTGTCTACTCTGCAAAAAGGGGTCATTTGGGGATATCTGTACTATTCTGACATTCTTGGACCTCAAGAAATTAGATTGGCTGTCAGTACTTCAGGATTTATCAATATTCAGATCTATACCATAGTTTGTGAACTCTATAACTTTCCTACAAACTAAATAATACATCCTAATTTGGGTTATTTTCACCAAAGACATGTAGCAGAATACACCTTGGCCTAAATTTATGAAGAACAATTATTTATTTGCAAACTTTTATAACAGAAACAAAGAAAAACGTGTTTTTTTTTTTTTTAAAATTTTTGGTTTTTTTTTGTTAATTTAGCAAAAAATAAAAACCCCAGCGGTGATTAAATACCACCAAAAGAAAGCTCTAGTTGTGTGAAGAAAATGATAACATTTTAGTTTGGGTACAATGTTGTATGACCGCGCAATTGTCATTCAAAGTGTGAGAGCGCTGAAACCTGAAAAATGGCCTGGGCAGGAAGGTGTAAAATTGCCCGGTATTGAAATGGTTAAGAAAGTCAATATCTTTTTTCTCCACTTGTATCTTTCCACCATGTTTATAGAACATTGTTGAGATGTGTCTCAGTTATACTGTATTTGTATTACGTATATGTGATTTTAATGTGAACTTGCTTGCTAAAGTGAATTTGTCAGCTATTGTAAACATTTAAATCTACTTGTGTGCTAAAGAGCAAGGTTTCACAAGGTGTTTTAAAATTGTTGACAGATTCACATTGCATTTGATAAACATTTTTCATGTATATACTGTATGTAGACAAACAGCCTTATAATTATTTTTTTGTAACGTATTGGTCATATGTGAAAGTGAAATTTTTTTTCTACTTTTTGTTTCAGTGAGTTACCAAACTATGATGCAGTTATCCCAGCTCTTCTGAAGCATGGAATTAAAGAGCTTCCTCAACATTGCCACCTTACACCAGGTTTTAATCTTTTACATAGAACTTCAAGTAGTCTGTTGTTAGTAAATTTCAGTTTAACCAGTTTTTGCAATTATTTCTTAGGAGTCCCATTAAAGCCAATGTTGGCACACCCAACCAAGGGAGTTACAGAAGTGCTGAAGAGGTTTGAGGAAGCTGCTTTTACCTGTGAATATAAATATGATGGAGAGCGTGCACAGGTACTTTAAATACAATCAGAACAGAACAACGATCTGTGCATATTTCTAAAAGAAATGCAAGAATTACATTTCAGGACACTGTTGTTTAAAGTGTTACCAAAGTAAAAAAATAATCAAAATAAAAAAACGTGATGCTCCTCTTCCCAGGTCCCCCGCCGACAGTCTTGGCTCCTCCTTTTCTTAGTGTGTCCCCATTGCAAGCAGTTTGTTGTGGAGGCACACAGTGTCTGCGTGTTCCTGAGCTGTGTGTCTATAGACCATGCTTACACAGCAGGACTTGGCCCCGCCCCCCACTTTCCCCTAACTGCATTTGATTGACAGCAGCAGGAGCCAATGGCTCCTGCTGCTGCTCGAGTGCTGTGTGAAGTGGAAGAAAGGGGAGAAGAGATGCAGCCATGCATAGTGCTGGATCTATTCTTCTCTCTTTTCCTCTTCACACAGGGAAGGGGGGGAAGCAGAGAGAAAATGTTTTTTATCTTAATGCAACGAATGCTCCCAGTCATGTAGTGGGGGGACTTCTGTTGGCCTTTGCAGCCACCTGGCCTCAACGCGTTACTGAAAATACAATATTCAGGATGGAGTTTCCCTTCTTATTGATTGCCTCACTTCATCAAGGGGATTTCCTGGCGTCAATGAATATCACTGCTGCCTTCCATACACACCCTGATTTCCTGGCCCCATAAACATTTTCTGCTTTTCACAGGGGATAATTGCCACCATCAAGTTGTAGCATTACCTTTTGGCCTAATTACACCCCCCCCAGAGTGTTTACCGAGGTGTTGGCACTAGTTCTGGGCATGCAGTGTCCACCAGACGGTACAAGTTCTGGAGAACTTGGATGGATACTGAATCTTCAGAATCAGTCTTGGTTCTGATTCAACACCTGGAGTACTTAGGCTTAGTCCTTCGGACTCAAGCGATAACCTTGTTCTGGCAAGAGAAATGCCTGTCTTTTGAATCCCAGGTGGAGTCCCTGAGGTCATTGAAAATTCCCTCCATTTGAGCCTGCATCAAGGTGCTGAAGAAGATGGTAGCCGCCTTTAATGCATTCCCCCAGGTTCACTCCAGAATGTTAAAGCTTCGTATTCTGTTGGCATAGGATAAATGTTAGGAGGCCTTGGATCTGCCAATGCATCAGACTCCCAAGACCGAAGTAGCTTGGTATTCAACTGACCCTCCTATACTAATCTCTTTACATTTGGGTCTTCTGTCAGAGTGCAGAGAACTGTACCATGGCTGTGGTATACATCAACCATCAATGAGAAATAAGAAGTTGAGCTTTCCAGGAAGAAGCATACCCGATCTTGTTGTAGGCTGAGCTTTGTGTGCTGTCCTTCTCCAGTGTGGAAAATTGACTGGTGGACTTTCTGAGCTTTCAGCAGCTGAATCCAGGAGAATGTGCCTGTCTCCTGGAGGTATTTGCAGATATTTATCTGCAGTGGGGAATGCTGGATCTTCTGGTGTCCAGATTCAACAGCAAGCTGGATAGGTTTGTGTCCCATACTTGAGATCCTCTAGCGTTTGTGATGCATGTCCTTATGACTCCTTTCTGGGTTTTTCAACATCAAGCTTCTGTTGTTCATGTTTGTTAGGCTGCTACTTACTATTCTTTTAACACAGTAACTAGTTCTAGTAGGTAGATGTTTATGCCTCTGGGCATGTCTGCTTTGAGTGAAAGGTCCTGCAGGCAGCTTTGTATTGGGGTTCCCCCCATTCTGTTTTTGAGTTTTTGACCTTGTTGTGCTGTTCCCACCCATTGTGTTCAGTGCTTTGGGATGACCCAAGTGGTCATGAATATGACCTCATCTGGAGCAAATCTATACCTTTTGGAAGAATGCAAAATCAACTAGAAAAGCTAAAATTTCTGGGGAATTTGTGTGAAGTGTTCTGCCTCCACCAGTAGTCTACAACTGGAGTGGGCGGAGTAACTGGGTGGAGTGGCTTGAGTAACTGTTGTGTGGTTGGAGTGGCTGGAACTAACTGTGAAAAGGTTGGACTGGGCAGAGTAACTTTATGGAGTGGGCAGAGTAACTGTGTGGAGTGTTTGGAGTGAGTAAAGATAGTAAACATTACACTAACCAATTGAATGATCAAATTTAAAAAGTGCACATGGCAAGCTTGATAGAGTGAGAAATGCATTTCAACTTTTAATTATTTATATAGCACATCAAACGGTTGTAGTTTAAAAAATTGTAAATCCTACACCGAAGAGCTTTATTTTGTGAGAATCACAAGACCCAGACCTACATTTTGATGGATAGTATGTCTCTGAAATTTTAAAAATGAAGGCACAGTCACAGTTTAGAAATTGCCCTTCAAATGTGAGATGGCTAGAGTGGAGTTTCAATGAATGTCAATGGGCGGCGTGAGTTGAAAACAAATGGTCATATTGTGAAAACCTTAAGGACTATGGCTTAGCCGTGGACATTTTTAGTGGCAGCAGGGATAGCTGAACATTGTGATATAAGATATGTGTAGGTGGGCTTGAAAATGAGGGAGTGATGGCAGTTTAGAAATCATGTCCTGATTTTTCGGCTCACACTCTAGCTTTTGTCAGCTCTCACTCTAGTTTTGAACATTCCACCATTCATTCCTATGGGACCAATTTCACCACAAAAACACCGATATTTCGTGAAGCCATTCGGCGAAACGTTCCACAAAGTAATAGCACACCAATCGGGAACAATCCGAACGTTTCGGTATATTACTGTCTATGTAGTGTAAAAACTGTGGGAGGAGTTAGGGTGGTAAATTGGCTATAATAATAAGAATATATATGTGAGATAACAGGAAGTGGTCTTGCCATGCAAGAACACTTAATGACAGTTCCCCTGTCTCCCACAGTTTGGCAGTTGTTAGGGAGTGGCCATTTTTGTCCCTGTGCAAAGGACTTTCAAAATATCAAACCTTGGACTGCTGTGCTGCAAACCTGTGCTTGCCCTAGCATGGAAAAGATAGCAACGCATTTGTTTTGTTGCTAGTATATAATGATATTGTTTAAATCACAAATATGATGTTTATGAAAGTTATATCAGTTGCTACTATTCGTTTCACCAAGAGAACAGAAACGTGAAATTAAAACCTTATTGGCATATCACCAAAACAGCAGTGTCTGCTTTGTTTAATATTTTTATTGTTTGTTTTACTATAGGTACATATCCTGGAGAATGGAGAAGTACACATATATAGCAGAAATCAGGAAAGCAATACATCAAAATATCCTGACATAATCAGCAGAATTCCAAAGGTAATAATCTGTTGGTTTCTTTTTACATAATGGGAATTATATACTGTATATGAGTGGTACATACTATATAAGTACACTTGCAGACTTGGGCTGATGTCAGAAGGGGCGACTGCGGCTAGCCATTCTGCTGCTTTTGATTTGTCAAGATGTTCAGTAGCATTCGGGCCCGTGACAGAACAACAGCTTGCTGAATCTGGCTACAGCGGGATTGAATCCACAGGCCCAAACATTTCAACTTTAGTTTCACCATTCCATAAAACATATTCCCAGTAGCGTGTAAATGTCTAATATCAGTGCCTCAGAAATGTGTGTACAATTAAAATGCTGTTCAATACACGTAATTAGTAATTGACATAATTGGTTTTGTTTGAGCTTTGCATTGTTCATTCCTGAGCGCTGTTTACACTTTTTCGTTCATATATTTTTGCGGTATTGCCAAGGTGCTCTTTGGTAAACTTCATGCATGCAGCAATGGGTTTTTTTTTGTAGAGCAGCGGCTTGCTTTGTGGTGTTCTGCCATGGACACGCTGACTGTTGAAAGACTGTTACGTATGGTAGACTCATGAACAGGGGTGTATAACCGTTTCAGTGCTCTCTTCAAGCCTTTAGCTGTTAATCATGGGTTCTTTTTTACCTCATTGAGGATTCTGTGTTGTGCCTTGGGAGTCATCTTGGCTAGGCGCCCACTTCTTGGAAGCGTTTCCACAGTAATAAACTGTCTTTGTTTTTTAGCAATTTGTCGAACTGCTGACTTATAGATGTCTAAACACTCTGAGATTGCTTTGTATCCCTTTCCAGCCTTATACAGGATTACTGCTGTTGTTCATATGTCTTCAGAGAGCTCCTTTTTGCAAAACATGGGTCACATCAGGGAAAGCCGTGATGCCCTGGGGGCACCGCTGCATCGCTTGGCTGCTTATGAACAGCAGTCTTAAAATGTCTGAGTGGTTTTTATTACTCCGATTAGCTTTCCTTTAAGTAGTAACAGTTAGTCTTTGGGTTCATTTTTTCCTCCAGGACTGTGAATGTTTAAACAGCTTTTTATTGGGTGTGTTCAGCAAAGATGCGTGAAATGATTTTTGTTTGTTGTGGTTAAAACGTTATTAGGCTTAAAGTGACACTTACCATAGGCTTAAAGTGACACTAAAGTTCAGTCTGTGGTGTGTTTTTTATTGTCTCTGGTTTGGTAAATAACAAACATGTCTATATTGACTTACCATGCTCTGTGCATTAGTTTTTGCACAGAGCAGCCCCGAATCCTCTTGTTTTTTGTGGTTTGTCCAAACAGCAGTGAAGATAGCTGGATTGTCTGGGCTGGCTTCTGTACCCACATCTGACCCTCAAGAATTGGGGACCCCCAGGGGTAAAGCCGTAAGTGCCTTCTTTCTGCCACGACCAGGTGGGGCCCTTTGCAATTTGCGAATGATGCTTCCTAAGGTGTCTCTTGGTATGTTTAACATCTTTGCAATCTCCGAGTGTCTTCCTGCTGCTCTATGTTCCATAAAACAGTATCATAAAGAGCTGATTGCGGCATCCACAGGTGTTTTCCCCCCTCTGTTCTTCAGAAGGCAATGTTGAACCATTTTCTTTGCAGTTTAGATGTAAAACGTCCTATAGAATGTACACTAAAAAACAATGTAATTTACTCACAACTGTAGATGTTTGTCATTTCATTGCTGCAGGTAAAGAAAGACAGCGTGAAGACTTGTATCATTGATTCAGAAGCTGTTGCATGGGATCCACAGAAAAAGCAGATCCAACCCTTCCAAATACTCACTACTAGAAAACGAAAGGTTTGTTTGACGTATATAATTTACACAAACAAATTACTCACTTGTATTGCAAATAGGGATGAATAGTTGCTAATAAAATAGCAGCAGTTAAAGACTGAAAGTCCTTCACAAACCCAAGTAAAATGACAAGAAGATTCAGTAAGCACTTGCCAAATGTGTAAACATTACAAAGAAAGTTCAGTTCAATTGTTAGCATTTTTTTGAGACCGATAAAACTTTATTTTGGTGTTATTTATTCGCCACTGGGGTTTTTATTTTTTTTCTATATAAATGAAAAAGTCCAAAAGTTTTGAAAAGTGTTTTTCTTTTTTTTTTATGCTGATTGCTTTTACACCCCATAAAGGCTGTAAAAGCAATCATTTCTCTTTCTCTCTTTCTTGCAGCCATTGAGAAATACTGTGTGAGCTGTGATTGGTCACAGCTTGTCACATGGTACAAGGCTGTTGTGAATAGCCTTGTACCATGTGACCTCTGTGATCATTCACAGATTTCACAAGTAGTAAGCAATGATGTGAGGAAGTGACATCTTGTTTACTGCTATTCATGTGTTGCTCCAGGGCCTCCAAAAATGTAATAGGTAGTCAGGAAATTAGATGTGTAATTTATGCTCCCTGAAAGTCTAAAAGTGCTCTTTGGATTTTGGAACACTCTGTGCATCAAGACTGTGAAAAAGACTCATACATGTGGTATCCCCATACTCTGGAGGCATAACAGAATGCATTTGGGGTGTAAGTCTATGTATGCCTATGATGTCTGTTAGAAATAACTTTAAAATGGAAAATTTTTAAAAAAATCTTATTTAATTGCTTTATTTTTTTCAAAAAAATTGTGACAAAAATACAATTTAAAAAAAACTCAATGCCTTTTACTAATTACCTTTGACTGCTTTCCAGAAGGGGTCATTTGGGGGTTGTTTGTACTGTCCTGGCATTTTAGGGCTTCAGGAAATGAGATAGGCAGTCAGTTCATCAGGACTGATCAATTTTCAAATATTTATACCATAGTTTGTAGACTCTAACTTCCACACAAACCAAATAATATACACTGATTTGGGTTATTTCTTACCAGAGAAATGTAGCATAATACATTTTATGAAGAAAGTTTTTTTTTTTTTTTTGCAAAATTGTATTACACAAACTAAGAAAAAACATTTTTTTCAGAAACTTTCAGTATTTTTTTTTTTTCGTTTGTTTAGCGAAAAAAAAAAAAAACCCAATGAAATACCACCAACAGAAAGCTCTATCTGTCTAAAAATAAAATGATAAAAATGTATTTTCAGTTCAGGGTGGCATGACTGAGTAATTGTCATTCGAAGTGTGCCTACGCTGAAATCTGAAAATTGGCCTGGGAAGGAAGAGGATGAAAGTATCTGGTATTGAGCTGGTTAAGACAATAGAAACGTACCTGGAAATGTTTTATCTTTCAGTACAGTACAAGATATAGGTCCCCCCCATCTATGTCTTGCTCATTCCTTATTGCTTGCTAAAAAACTGGAGTCTCACAGAGTAGGCAGAGTTATATCGGCGTGTAATAGGGGCATCCTTTGCATTCTTTTTAGCTGTGTCCAATCACCTGAATGTAGCCTCTGTATAATCCTTGGTTTATGAATACGTCTTGTGTCCTGTACTGTATTTAAAGATTAGGAATTTACAGGTCAAGTAAAAATTCCTGTGTTTTTTTTTTTGTTTTTGCCTTTTTACGTAGGGTTGCATCTTTCTGGCCCAGACCTTCCAACCATTTTTCTTGACATTCTGTTTCTGCATATTTTGTAGTTTAGATACGTTTGCTTTCCCACTGATTGATATATGCAATAACATCTAAAATAGCTGAGCTTTTATAATCTTATTTTAGTCCACTCTACAAACATGTTTTCATAGAAAAATAACATTTTTTGTTTTTTTTTGTTTTGTTTTTTTTTTTAGGATGTCGAAGCTTCAGAAATTAAAGTCCAAGTGTGCGTGTATGCTTTTGACATGTTGTATTTAAATGGGGAGGTAAGTTCTTGCTATTAAAATGACTTGTGGTGACATGGGAGGCAAACGACTGTGACTTTTCCCTTTGTCTCTTTCTCCGCCATTTCTTTCCCCATCTTTCTTTCAGCGTTATCTGTTTTTGTCTGAATTACTCTCCCCTAGACATGTCTCACCTCATGCCTACTTATATTTCTGGGTTACTGACTTGTGGTGAATGTGTGAAAATAGACTTAAGACTGAATACCATCTAGCCTTGTGGAAAAAAAAAAGAAAATTTTAATGTTTGCTATCTGCTTTTAGTCTTTAGTTAGAGAACCATTTTCTAGAAGACGCCAGCTACTAAGAGAATCTTTTCAGGAGGTGGAAGGGGAATTCATGTTTGCTACGTATATGGACACATCAAACACAGATGAAATTTCAGAGTTTCTTGATCAGTCAATTAAAGGTATTGCAGCAAGGCAAACATTTTAATATTTTGCATCCAAAAATAACTGCAAATGATGAATGCTTTTAATATTGTTTATTTTTAGATTCTTGTGAAGGTCTGATGGTAAAAACTCTAGACCAGAATGCCACATATGAAATAGCAAAGCGTTCTCACAATTGGTTAAAGGTAAATAATATAATTTTAAATCGCACCAAAATAATTTCTCAAACTTAAACTGGAACTGTGTGTAAAATCAAACATGACATATAGGATGCAGTCTGTCAGTAGCATTAAAGTGTATGTAAACCCTAATATTGAGCTTCTCTTATTTGCTCCCTTTTGCTCTGTCTTGCTATATTGGATACCCTGGTCACTACTTTACAGGGGGTTCCCAGAGCAGGCGGGAGTGATCTAACTGTGATCATAGCACTGCACATAATAATTGCATTATATTGCTAAAGTAATATAGCTTCATTTTAGTTTGTTTCCATTCATGATAACAGAGCTGTTACTACTATTATAGCTTTACCTTGAGTACACAAATTAAAAAATATTAGGATTTTTGGTTTACCTGTAAAATTCTATTGTTAGAGTATATCACAAGACGCAGAGGACTACATATTCATTATTACTTGAGTTATGCTGCCACCTTCAACTGGTTATAAAGTCTAAACAGTTTTACCTTAATGCATTCCTTACTGGAGAAAAGCCAAACTTCATCCCACCACATACTGTCAGGGATGAACTGCATGAGCTTTACATCAAGCCAAACAAGCCTTCTATGTACGATGGCACACCTTCCTGGAGGTGGACTTTCTTACCTTGATGAGGGTAGGTACTACAGAGTCAAAAACACCCGTTTGCTCAGGATATGGACTTGAAAAGCCATGCTATCCACACCAGCGACTGTAAAGCAGGATGGGCCGTCGGACCCCGTGACTGTAAATGTGGCCAATCTGAAAGAGCCCTGTGTTTATCTGCCAAAAAGTGTATATGTGTGCATACCATGTTTTTCTTGGTCCCCTAGGAAGATCACTTTCCTGGACCTGTAAAGCATCCTGCCATCAAGTTACCTGGTACAAACTACATTTGGATATAGCTGCCAACCGGAGCCAACCTCCAACACAACAGGCTGTCCTGCTTTTGTCCGCGGGGTCCAGACACAGTCCCTCTTTGCCTTTAGGCCATAGGTGGCCAAAACAGATAAAGCCCATCTCTGCCCCAGCAGGGGTGTTTAGAAGAGACCAAGAGTAGGAAACTAAAGACCAGGAAAGTAAATTTTCAGAGAGACATCTGTAGGCACACCCATCATCTTGGGAACCTAGCTAAAAACAGGCTTGGGTAAATTAGGACAGGTTATGCCTGAGGAATCGTGCCTTTTTTGTATTTATTGATCTAATTTTTTTTGTTGATGTCCATCTGAAGGTGGCAGAATAAGTAATCATGAATATGAAATCCTATGTGTCCTGTGATGTTTGATTAAGAAAACATTTTTCTTTATCTTCAATGGACACTGGCAAAAAAATCCCCCTCTGGATATAACTCCTCCCAGCTAGGTGAGGCTTCACTTTTTTGTTAGTGTCTTAGTTGATGGCCATGTTTGTGCAGCCTTTGCATGCAATCCGCTTGCTTCTCAACAGTTCCATCTGGGATTAGGAGACTCGCTATTCCAAATCCATTGCCTTATACCCAGAGGAATGGCACCTGGACCCGGCACCAGACAAGCAGGGATGGCCTGTAATGTTGCCGGTCCACACTGGACTCTGCGTGATGGAAGCAATTTTATATCGCCTTGCGAACCAGCAGGTGCTATACAGGTCCACGGCAGTGATCCCTAGCTGGGAAAATTAAGTCCCTTGGCATGGCCCACTGTGATGTGTAAAGATTAAAGTCCCCCTAAGGGAGTCCTGCAACCAAGAATGGTGAGTGCCCTGGTGGTTGGCATTTCTAGTTCTGTCTCCCTCCACCTGAGCCTCCCCCTGCCCAAGTGATGGGCCAAGGGCTATTCTGTAGGCTTCCCATTTTAGTTAAGCTTCTTTTTTACATGTTTCCTGTTTTTAGCACAGCAAAACTGCTACTTGAGTGCTATGTAGTATGTAGGGGACAGAACGTGTCCTTAGGCTTTCAGTGGACCCCTTAAAAAATTCTATTCAGCAGCTTTTTATTCTTGGTCTCTTGTCACCTGCGCGGTGTGGGTTAGCGGAGTTACCCTGTAAGAAGCATGTTGAACATTTGCCTTTTCAATTGAAGTGTTTGGTCCTTCTCTGGATGATTGCATCCATAAGGTGACCGTGAGTATGAGTGCCCTGTTGACTCTTAAGAAGACGTTTAAGGCTGCTGTGTAAAAGCATGCCATGCCTTCCACTTCCAAAAAGTAACCCTATCACAAACTTCAAGCCTTGGGCTTAAAGCAAAAGCCCCGTTCCCAGTTTCATAAAAAACCCTGGACTCCTAAACCCAGCTGAGAGAATTCTTCCTTCAAGACAAATGCCTTGGTCTGAGAATTCAGGTGGAGTTACTCCGAGCTATGACAAATCCCTCTATTTGACTTTGCATGAGAGTTCTGGGAAAGATAGTAGCTTCCTTTGATGCAGTTCCTTTTGCCCAGTTTAATTTCAGGCCCCTCCAATGGAATGTTTTGACATGGGACAGGAGGGCACAGTCTTTGTACTCCCTAATGCAGTTACACCCCAGAAGAATGCTGTTCCTGGATGGGTGGATCCGTTCAAAGATGCTGTAGATGGGAAGTCATTTTTCTCTGTTCTGGAGGGTCTTGACAATGCACACCATCTTGTTGGGCTAGGGTGGAGTTCTGGACAATCTCATGGTCCAGGGATCTTGGTCACTGCAGGAAAGACCATTGCTCATCAACATCCTGTAATTTAGGGAAATTCACCCTGGCCTGCTGCATTGTTGGGTATAGCTGAGGGGCCTCCCTGTAAAGGTTCAGTTGGACAGTGCCACAGTGGTGGCATACATAAATCATCAGAAAGGTAAAAGAGGTCAAACTGCTCAGAAGGAAGTGTATTGCGCTCTGTCTTTGGTGGTGCTTCAAGTTCCCGCACTGTCAGCCTTCCCCATTTCAGATGTGGAAAATTGTCAGATGGATTTTCTTATATGTCAGCAACTGTCTTCAGGGGAGTGGGGTTTCCACCCAGAGGTATTCAAGGAGCTTTGTCAAAGGTGGGGAAACCTGGATGTGGATCTTCTGCTTCCAGGTTCAATACAAAACTGGACAGATTTGTTTTAGGGACTAGTGATCCTCTCTCATTTGCAGTGATTAGTCTTGTGACACCGTGGGATTAGTTCTCCCTAATTTATTCCTTTGTGCTTTATGATTTACTACATAAACTGAAGCTTTGCCTAGTTGGGAGGGGTTTTCCCTTCTTTTTGCCAGTGTCCATTCACCTGAGGATGGTAGCATAATCCTATTGTAATGAATGTGAGGATACCCTTTGTCCTGGGATGTGTTCCAAGGACAAGAAAGAATTTTATAGGTCAACCAAAAAATCCCATTTTCAGAAGTGCCTGTATGTCTTTTTCCTGAAGGTATAGAGCAGATGAACAGTATAAGTATTAGGCGTCATGCACACTGGACATTTAGCATGAGGCTCTGGTGCTTAGGTGCTTGCAGAGGTAAAGGTGCACCATCCGGCCATGCTGCCAGCAGCCTGCCAAATTCTAGGAGAGGGTAATAGTTGCTGTTGCTGGACAGTGCTGAACGGTGCACCTAGCGGTATTTGTGTTTAGGGCAGTATGCACCCAGGGACGAATGCTTAGCATGAAGACAGCTTGTGGTCCAAGCATTCATCCCTGGGTGCGCCATCAAGCCCCAGGAGCTGTGAGTCTCTCATGGAGATTGAGGGGCTTCTGGTTCTGGTAGCAGGGTTAGATGGTGCACTTGTCCCTTTGGCCCACACCTAAACCTTCTGAACCCTTACGCTTCAGGAATAATGTCCCAGTGTGCATGCGGCCTTATGAAGAGTCCTTATGAAGCAGCAGATATTTCTTCTTATACCAAGTATGGTTCTTTTCTACTCTCATTCTACTGTATTTAAAGGCTTCTGTTAACGGTCAACTTATTTCCTTTCCAGCTAAAGAAAGATTATTTGGATGGTGTAGGAGACACTTTGGATCTGGTTGTTATTGGTGCTTATTTGGGAAAAGGAAAGCGAACTGGAAAATATGGAGGCTTTTTACTAGCATCATATGATGAAGAGAGTGAAGAATATCAAACCATTTGCAAGGTTTGTCTATATTTTTGTAAAATATACCTTCCTATATGTCAGTCTTGTAAAATTCGGTTTTAGCTGTGTAAGCTTCGGTAATGCAAGTTTAATCCTATAACTGAACTTTGCCACCTCAGCTGTTTGTGGTGGAACAACAAGAGTATGCCCTGAGATTGAGGTGGTTTCAGCTCCTTTTGCAGCTCAGTTCTAAACTGAAAGTCCGCTCTGTTGATTTTTCTTTCCTTAATCAAAAGTTACTGCTCTGCTAATTTTACAGTGTAAACCCAATTACTAAAATCCCATATAAGCATTAATGTGTTAATATAGTTTAAAAAGTTATTCTCAATATTTAATTCCGCATTTTTCACTAAAATAACAAGATTGACCTGTCATTTCCCGGCTATAGAGGGACAAGAAGATGTGCTATCACACATTGAAAAGGCATGTTCTGCTGTTATCCCCATCAGGAAACCTGTATTGAGAAATGAAAATCTGTAGTTGTTGGGATTGTATGTAGACAGAAGTAGCTGAAGGAGGATGTAGAAAACCAACAGTGCTGAGAATGCAACAAAAGATGAAAAAATAACTTTAAACTAAGTGCTATAGCAATTTAAATACCATTTGGTTAGTGTTTAGCACTTTATAAACTCTGTCAAATCAATTTCACGTGAAGCGAAACTCCAGCTTTGTTACACACTCGCTGCATGCGACCTGTTTGGCGAAGGCTGAATTCACAGCCACCATGTCTGACCTATCCTGGAAGCTGTTGCCACCTCTGAAATCAAAGGGGATTATTAACTGCAAGCACTCTCTGTCTCGCCTCCCCCGAATATAATTTAGCCAAAAAGTAGAATTGCCTGATGCACCTGCTGCCATATATACCAAAGGGAATGCATTTTTTTCCACCAGCGGCACCTCTAGATTTCTCTCCTCCAATATTTAAAGTGGTATTAAACCCAAAAGCAAACATTTGTTATACTGCAGCTTACCAATTCTTAGATGGGATGGCTGCATTAGTTTGCTTTTTTAGGTTTTCTTTACATTTGTTTTTAACTTGTTGATCCTGTAAGTATGTCTGTTGTTTTTGAAAGAACAAGCTGTCCTGCAGATGTAGCAGTTAGAAATTTGAGACAAATTATTTACCACTGAGGGTCTCTTACAATGGTCAGTTTTTATTTATTTAGGGGAACAGAAAATCCCAAAAGGAACAAAACTGTGGCTGTAATTGCATAAAAAGTGTTAGCTGGAGTTTAGCTTCAATTTGCTAGTGTATCTAAATCTGCTAGTGCATCTAACACTCTCCCCCCCCTCATTCTGACAATGTTGCTTTCCAAAGGTGCCCCTGTGCTCCTTCATCCAAAGTGGGGGCACTATTGGCCAGATCAGGTGAAAAATATCTGTCCTGGCATTTTTAGGGCCTCACAAAAGCAACAAACAGGTCAGTACATCAGGATTAATCAATTTTCAAACATATATACAATCATTTGTAGATGCTATAACTTATATGCAATACAATTAATATATACTTATTGGGATTTGTCCTAAATTTATGAAGACATTTGATTTTATTGGATCTTTTTTTTAACAGAAAGTAGAAATTGTTTATTTTTTTAATTTTCAGTCTTTCTATTTATATCGCAAAAAATAAAAAAAACCCAGTGGTGATCAAATACCACCAAAAGAAAGCTCTGTTTGTATGAAAAAGTAAAGTAGCACAGTGCTGAATAGCAAAAAAAAAAATGCTCTGAAGGGGGTAAAACCTTCTGGGGATCAAGTGGTTAAGGAAGTTAACTTTCTTAACTTCTTGCCATATGCTGATTACTGTGGTTTCATTGACCAAGCCAGTGTGTAGTATGATGGTGAATATATATTTCTAGCACTGCACAAGCCCCACATACTCAACAATGTTTTAGGAAGAGGACCTTCTGTAGAAAGCCCTTTCCATCTGAAACCACTTAATATGCTTGTGATGGCACGTACCTGGATTGGATGGGTTGCACACCCCTGTACACTCTCTTCTTTCCTCTCTCTACTTTTTCACCTATTTTTGTCCAGTCCCTTGATGCTCAGGGATGACAATACAAGATGCATATGTGGGATGGGGAGCAGGGATTCTAGGCAATAACTTTTGGTATTGTGGCGAACTCCTAATTGGGCTGTCAGAAGTTGGAATACACCTTACCTATGATCCGAAATTGACCTTGATTACAGCAAGGTCAGTTGGTTCAGTGTAAATGCGCAATTGAGTAATTCCATCTATTATGACAACATTTAGGCCGGTGGAATGATAGGTCCGTGTTCATGTCTGAATACCCTGGATACCTTGGTTTTCAACTTACTATATTGTTATCTTGGAATGATATAACTGCCTCTCTTTCCTCTTTATTCTACCCTGTTGTAAGAAGAAAATATATGATGTCCTATGTAATCACATAATAAGTTACTGTAAAAGAAAGTCCTTTCCCGTTCTGAATCAGGCAAGTTGGGTCTTGTACAATGACTGGCCAAACCCAGAGAGGTTATGTCCTCTTCTTGGTAATTTCAAATTCTTGTATCCTGTGGATGATCCTGTTTGATTTCCAGCTCTATTTTCTCCTATTGGTACAATCAGTGTTTCTCTCCTTTTCCTACTTATGAAAGGATTTCAGGGGTCACCAACCATTACTTAGGAACTCCTGCCTTTAAAGGTTCAATTACCTCTTTGAACAAGATGCATCAGTATGATTATCTTGGTAGTCAGGCTTTAACTAAGTGCCCCCCTGGCCCAGCCGTTTATCTAATCTATAGCTAACCTCATGATACTCCTGTTCATCTTCATTAAATTCTCTGATGCCAGAGGATGTTTTTACTTTCTTGTCCATTTTTTTTCCTGTTGACATGAATGACTACTGCCATTCACTATATCTTTGGGGTCCCTGATTGTCATCAATGTTCTCAACCCCTGGATTAGCTAGTAGGATCCCTCTGATTTTGTGGTTATAGGCCTCCAAATGTCAAAATTTAGTCATCCAAAATCTGACAGCTGCTGTTTTTTGCATATTCCCCAAAGGTTGTGCCTACATATGGTGGACAGTATTACCATCTTTTCAGGCAACTTCTCCAGCATGACGATCTTGTCTGTCTAATTCATATTAATTATCCCTTCCTCTAGGCATGCTCCATTGTCCTTTTATGAGATTGTTCTTTCTCTTCGGCAAACGGCCCCTAATCCCCTCTACATTAAGTTACTTAAACATCCTGGAATCCCATTCAGCCATGATATGACCTCCCTGGCTTAACCCATCCCTTCCATGGCTGCAGTTTGCCAGTTACTTCTGAATAGGGTAATATTCTGTCTTGACCTCCATATGGGGTACGCTATTGCCAAATTGTATCAAAAATTGGTTTAAATCTGAATTTTCCCATGTTTTGTTGGGCGGGCGGTTCCCCTTCCATGCCACCTATGGCTCACAAGCAGTTTTTGCACTTTCCCTCCCATGCTCAGCCATCCTCATAAGCCTAAGGGTGCATGACTGTCAGGGCAGGCAGTTGACTAATTTCCTTAGCACCAGGTGGATTCTAGCTTTACATTGGATGCCTCCTTTTAACATCCCTGTTTGGACACAAGATGTTTCTAATGCTTGACAATCTTTAGGAAAACAGCTTTGCCTAGTGAGGTTAAAAATCTCTTATCTTATCTCTTGACACCTTGCACTTGTGCAATATTCTACTTCATATTATTCTTCCTTGTCACTTAATGATACACCTACAGGTCCTTGTGGCCATCAAGACCTATCACTCTAAATAGAGGGGTTCACATCTGGGGGAACCTCATAAGATCCAATCCGCTTCTATTTCTGTCCAAGAGCTTTGGCCTTCTTTAGACCCCTTTTCCACTTGGGGAAAAGGTAGCCTGGAGACCAGAATTCTTCTTACCTTCATGATGATTCTGGTTTTTCTCTTAAAACCACCTTCATTTTCTTGACATGTCCTGCTGACCAGCACAACATTTCACCAGTAATCCCCTTAACAGTTGGGATAAAGTTTAAAATCTATGGCCTTGCCGAGTCTTTAGGTGAACCTGCTTCTCACTTTTTTTTATTTTCTTAACAGAGTATCCCCATTGGGACTGCTCCTCCTACCCACCTGTGTGATGATTTGTATTCCCTTGTTTTTCTTCTTCTAGTGGCTTCTACCCTCTGGGAATGAGTCCAACCCTCCCCCTCCCTAGTGTATGCTCTGTTAAAATCAGGTTCTCGGGCCTCTACAACATCTAGGGTTCTGCAGTCCTCCTTTGAGCGGAGTCACCACCTAAGTTCTATCTTTTGCATTTATCTTTATCTTTGGTTGCTAAACAGCTGTTTGGTCTCTACTTTTGCTCATGCAGCAAGGTGTTTCTGTTAACAGATTGTTTTGGGGCCCACTGTTCTTCCTGTTTTCCTCCTGTGGGCCTATTGCTACTGCTTAACTGACTTGTTGCCTTCCCCTTCTGTATGCTTGGGGACATGTCTTGTACTAATAAGCTAAGATATCTATATATACAGGACACGGGTCCCTCCCCTCACTTCTCTGTGATTTCTCTATTGCTTGATAACGAAACTGAAGTCTTGTGGAGTGGGCTGAGTTATATGGGGACATTAAGGAGCAGTCCCAGCAAAGCTTTTCTGAGTGTCCAATCACCAGATGGTAGTGGCATATAACCCATGGTCTATTCCTCTACTGTATTCAAAGATACATATTTTACATGTACATCAAAATTCCTCTTTATACTTTTGAGAAATAAACATATATTATAAAAATAAAACCAAATATACTGTACATACCATGTAGCTGGAATCTGCAATGGTTTACATGTTTCTTAATACATTGCTCAGTCAAACTGCATGATATGTGTAAATCCAAGGCTTGCTTAGCATTGATTAAGCTGGCCAGAATTCACTCCCTCCTGATATCTTTTGACTGAAAAAACAAAGGAGCTGGGTTAAAAAAAAATTCTTGGTTCATCAGATGTAGCCACTGTTCGGGTGTTTTGGCAGCGTGCGGGGCTGGCTGTCAATATAGAATAAGCACAATGGGAGTGTCGTCCATCCAGACTGTATAACATGGATGAAGGACTCGGGTGTTTTTTTTTCCTTCAGCTTGCAGACAAAAAATTTTAAATGTATTACCAGCTTTACACTTTTTAAAACCACAAATTTGGGAATGTAGCGGATAAGGAGTTTTAACGTTTGTGTAAAGCCAGATATATATATATAATTTTTTTTCTTTAGTTTTGAATAGAGTAGAGAGTGTATTAAAGTTATTTAAAGATAAATTTCTGTTTAAACGTTCTTAAAAAAAAAAAAATTGGGACTGATACTTTCTAATATTAAATGGCTTCTGTGTAATGAACTTGAGACTAATCACTTAACATGATCTATGCCACATTTTAAAAATAAATCTGCCGGCCAGTATAACTGTATATATCTAATAACATAGGCGTTTCAAATGTTCAAAGATGTGCTTATTTTATCAAATGTCTTGAAGGAAGCCATGGCTGCAATCCAGTACTGGAAGCTGCCATTACACATCAAGAAGCAGTGATATTTCCTGAGCTGTATTATTCATAGTGACCTTTCTACCCTGGAAATATTACTGTATCCAGAGGTCAGTTAAGGGCAACAGTGTTCAATGGGATCCTCTTTTGTTTTGTGGAAAAATCCCACTCATTACAAAGGAGAAGCCAACTCTTATGTATTTTAAGGATAGATGACCTTTCCATAGGAATTTACTTGATTTATTTTCATGCATGCACAAAAGAAGTAAAGTAACATCTGGGAAATTTTGGAACAGTGGCTGTGTAGTGCCCCATGGGCTGTACTGCCTAGATTTGCCAGAAGCATGGAAAAATTAGTATAAAATATTGGAGTGGTGCTGGTGGATTGCAGAGGTAACCTAAAGGATATCTACATATATGAAGTATCCTTTAAAATGATTCTGTGAGGAATAAAAAATAAAAACTTGCCATAGTAGGTTTACTATGCTGATTTTTCTTTTACTATCTAGTGTTTATCTGGGAACACTGTGTAGGATGTACATTCTGCCTTCTTTTGCTGTGTGCCCATTCTAGATCAGTGACTCATTAGGTAGTGGAGCTGCGATCATAAATATAGCTTGAGAGCCGGAATATTTTTTTGCAACCATCATAAGTATTGGAATTTTGACTTGGTTTCAGCACCTTACTGTCCTTGTACAATTCAGACTGAGAATGGAAAAAGCAGCACAAGTATTAGTAGTATTGCACTGTTTGTGGGCTAATAAGGGGGATGATGATCAGAGAAGAGAACAGTGACAAAGAGATGAGCTTATCAGTCAGCTTTTCCAGTCACTGTACAGTTACACATTGGGGGGGGGGGGGGGGGGGTGTAAATACCTTTTAAGGGTTACTTAGGTGCAATAAAGAAACCCTGGATATCCCTCCTTGCCAGAAAGGGCGGTGCTACACTATATTGCCAAAAGTATTGGGACACCCCTCCAGATCATTGGATTCAGGTGTTCCAATCACCTCCATGGATAAAATCAGCACCTAGGCATGCAGACTGCTTCTGTAAACATTTGTGAAATATTGGGTTGCTCTCTTAGTGAGTTCAAGCGTGGTACCATGATAGGTTGCCACCTTTGCAATAAGTCCATCCATGAAATTTCCTTGCTACTAAATATTCCATTTAGTGGTAGTATAACAAAGTGGAAGCAGCTGGGGACAACAGCAACAGAAAGAACGTAAAATAACAGAGTGGGGTAAGCTCATGCTGAAGCGCACAGTGTGCAGAAGTTGCCAACTGTCTGCAGAGCCAATAGCTAAAGACCTCCAAACTTTGTGTGGCCTTCAGATTAGCACAACAACAGTGTGCAGAGAGCTTCATTGAATGGTTTTCCATGGCCGAGCAGCTGCATCCAAGCCTTACATCACCAAGTGCAATGCAAAGCGTCAGATGCAGTAGCGTAAAGCAAGCTACCGCTGGACTCTAGAGCAGTGGAGATGTGTTCTCTGCAGTGACAAATCATGTTTCTCTGTCTGGCAATCCAGTGGATGTGTGTGGGTTTGGCGGTTGCCAGGAGAGCGGTAGATGCCTGACTGCATTGTGCCAAGTGTTAAGTTTTTTGGAGGGGGGGGGGGGGGGGGGGTTATGGTGTGGGGTTGTTTTTCAGGGGTTGGGCTTGGCCCCTTAGTTCCAATGAAGGGAACCCTTAAGGCATCAGCATACTAAGACATTTTAGACAATTTCATACTCCCAACTTTGTGGGAACAGTTTTGGGGATGGCCCCTTCCTGTTCCAATTTGACTGCGCACCAGTGCACAAAGCAAGGTCCAGAAAGACATGGATTAGCGAGTTTGGGGTGGAGGTACTTGACTGAGTCCTGACTTCAACCCGATGGAACACCTTTGGGATGAATTAGACCAGAGAGTGCAAGCCGGGCCTTCTTGTCTGACATCAGTGCCTGACCTCACAAATGCGCTTCTGGAAGAATGGTCAAACATTCCCATAGACCAGGGGTAGGCAACCTGCGGCTCTCTAGCTATTGTGGAACTACATTTCCCATTAAACATTGCAAAATTTACAGTTACAGCTAAGACTGACTTGCAGAGGCATGATGGAACATGTAGTTCTGCAACAGCTGGAGAGCCGCAGGTTGCCTACCCCTGCCATAGACACGCTCCTAAACCTTGTGAACAGCCTTCCCAGAAGAGTTGAAGCTGTTATAGCTGCAAAGAGTGGGCCAATCTAATATTGAACCCTACAGACTAAGACTGGGATGCCATTAAATTTCATGTGTGTGTAAAAGCAGGCATCCTAATACTTTTGGTAATATAGTGTATGTCATTTAGAGCTTTGTAAATTTTAGGGCCGAATAGACAGAAATGCAAATCCATTGGTAACTAAAATGGCCTGTTTTCATGTATTTACTTTTACATTTGCCTGGACTTCAGTTTTAAAATAAAGTTTAAAGTAGTGTTGTCTTGATTTGGCCTAAGTTTACTTATGTATTTACTTACATGAGCTTTACTTTCTACATATGCAGACATTTATAATTGAGCTTTCTATTGTGCCATAATTAATGTACTTATGTTTGTTGTTTTGTTTTAGATTGGAACAGGGTTTACAGATGAGGATTTAGAAAACCACTACAATTTCCTAAAGGTAATCCAATATGTAAAACAATGAGATGCTTTTCTAGACTTCACTGAATAGAAGCAAGCAAGTACAGTTAAGATGTAACAACTTTGAATTGTTAAGCGTTTTCAGAGATCATTTATGTATCTTAACACTATTCCTCCATAAATCTTCATTGTAGGACTATGTCATTGACGGACCACGCAGCTACTACCGCTGGGACAGTGCAGCACAGCCAGATCACTGGTTTGAACCTATGCAAGTTTGGGAAGTGAAGTGTGCAGATCTTTCAATTTCTCCAGTTCATAAAGCTGCAGTGGGATTGGTATGTATTTTGTTTAGTTTGCATAAAACAGGGAAGAATTCTATATCTACCAGGGATCACTAAATAGTGTTTCAGGCCCAGACTGAGGGACAGTCTAATCAGGACTGTTGCAGCTGCACCATTTAGCAGCCTGGGTGTCCTTTCCCGGGTCTCCCTACTGCTGCTATTGACTCCATGATAGGGCAGAGGAGAGGATTGGAGGTGCCAATCTTTTTCAGGTAACACATGGGTGATTGGTTAATAGGACGTGGAGCTGAGGACATTGATGTAAGGGGGTTGGTGGAGTGGGGCCTGTGAAGAGTCATCACACAAACATGAGATTTGGAACTCCGCTGGAATAAAAGTCTTTTGACCAGACCTCTGTGACATGTGACCCTTGATATATGTGAAAGGCATGTCACTGGAGAATATGGCATGCCATCCTGTACATCGTACCCAAATGCAGGTCTACATTTGCTGAGTTGCAGCCATTCAACCCTATGGTACATAAAAATGCACATGAAGTTCAGGCCAGCTCTGCATCATCCTTTGGCAGACTCAGAAATGCATCTCCATATAGCTTTGGTCATCCTTATTGCTTTGCGGCTCTGAACTTGCTGCTTTAGCTGAACAGCAACCACCTATTGTGAGGATTAACCTCCCTGGCTGTATGATTATTTCAGATTTTTAGTGCTGAAAGCGGTACCATTATTTTGCATGGAAATTTGGCGTTTTATATTGTAGGCCTGTAATTCTTAGGAATAACTCACTGAAATCTGTCCGAACAAGAGTCTAGTAAACATCCCGGGTATGATAAAATTTGAAACACGAAATCATAAATTATAATTTAATAAATAATCATAAAAAATAATATAATAATAATAAATTGAATTCAATAATATAATCAAACCAAACACACTGAAATTTGAAATATAGCGCCAAGTTCGCACATCACTGAGCAAAGTCACAAAATTGTTTTCAGTGTCTGATGACGAATTTCCCCACGAATCATTATCACTCAGTTCTGCAAGTGGTTCTAATTTACTATCGCTGTTCTCTAGCTGGTCTGCTTTTGACCTAAAGGGACGCTTTTTGGACGCCATGGACATTTCTCAGTTTCCAGGTAGAAAGAACAGTTAAAATGCAGGCAGGGCACAGGACAAAGCACTAGGGACAAAATGTATGTGAAATGGTTTGGTACAGTAATGTTTTACTATGTGATTTTAGTGATTTTTGTGACTGTCACTTTTTGTAATTTTCAAATTTCCCGCCGTTCCGTCCCCTGTACGTCCCGATGCTCGCAGAGGACGGAACCCAGATGACAGATGCCGGCATCCGCCGGATTACGTTGCCGGGGACACTGCAGCAGGGACATCGCGGGAGCGCAGGACAAGGTAAGTGACCGAGGATCACGGAGAAGCGCCGCATGGTAAGCCCGAGTGTAGCTCGGGGTTACCGCTTGTGATACTGAAACTTTACCCCGAGCTACACTCGAGAATACCACCAGGGAGGTTAAGGATCCTTTCACATGGGTGTTCCTGTTTTTTCATCAGTTCAGTCATGTTTTCTCAAAGAAAAAACGGATCAATTAACATCCGTTTTTTTCATCAGTTTACATTAGTGTTTTCATTCAATTTCATCCGTTTTGTCTGATTACATCCATTCCGTTTTTTTTTCCCGGAAGAAAAAGAGGGTTTTCTTTCTTTCAAAAAACAGATGTTAACGGATACGGGCATTAACGGATCTAAACGGATGATCATCTGTTTACATCTGCTAGTCCATAGAAATACACGGACATCCATTTTTCATCCTTAAATGGACAGGTAAAAAACGGACATATGGAATGCCCATGTGAAAGAGGCCTAAGGTTGTATTCACACAGTCAAATAGCATTGGCCAGGTGTGGCCCCTGACAGTTGAAAAACGCTGCCTACGCACACAGGGGTTGATTTATTAAAGGCAAATAGACTGTTTGTTTTACAAGGGAAGTGTACTATGCAATGGGGATTTTCCCCAGAGCTTAGTGAAAGGGTCTGGGGAAAATTGGTGTTTATGAAGTGTTGACCACGTGGACGTTAAAACCACTTAGGATACTACCTTTGATCAGTGTGTTAGCAGGATACTGCAAAGGATTTTAGCCTGATTTTTGGTTTAGTTTGGGGTCAGATGGCTTGTTCCCATATTGCTCTCCTCTTCTATTCAGTGCTTTGGGATATCCCTATTTGTAATAAATATAAAGGCACCCTGCGTCCTGTAATGTACGAGAATGAAAATGGGATTTTGGTTAACTTATAAAATCTTTTTATTGGATTACATCACAGGACACAGAGATCCCACCCCTCTTTCTTTATGGTTCATGGCTTTTTTGCCAGTGTCCAATCACCTGAAGGTGGCAGCATAACTCTTTTCATAATGAATAGAAAGACTTTGTGTCCCGTGGTGTACTCCCAAAAAATGATTTTACATGTCAACCAAAAATTGCATTATCTGCATTACCAGTAATGAAATAATATTGGATTGTTAACATCAGTGCTACTATGTATCTGTACTCACAAGGACTTGCCCAGAAGGTCTTGTAAAATATGCAATCGTTTGTAATCTGTCCATTTGATTTAATCACTCTATTTTGTACAGACTTATGAGGAGAGATCTTAGGTCAGCCGGAGACGCACCTAGCAGTATCTTTACAGTCATTGTTAATATAGTGTTAAATCTGAGTATGACGTGTGGAAAGCATTCCGAAAACCTGTTAAATAAAGTTTTGTTTTAATGTTTTGTATTTTTGAACATATATTCATGGAATGCAAGTAGGATATTCTATACTATGGCATTGTTACTATGCAGTACATGCACCTCTTATTTACCTCGTTATTCTCCTTTTGTACCACCTGATAAAAAAAAGTGCACTACAGAACTGTCTATATTCGTAAAACATGAATAAACATGTTTTGGTCTGGTCAGAATAAATTTTGTGTCTTCTGCTTCTATGAACATGGAGGCCTGGAATACCATTGCTGCTGAGCGACGTGTTGACAGCAGCTTATAGTACAGCTGCAGGGGCCATCCAGTCAGATGACATTAGGAGACAGATTTAACTATTTCTTGCTCGCTGTAAGTAGAATTAACTATTAGTAAAGGTGAAAACAAATTCATAAAAGGATGTGAATGAACAATTGAAAATTCTGCCCGACAAGCAGTTTGATTGCTCTGGTTGGCTCTAACAAAGATACCAGCATGGTGCACCAGCTATCATCATAGTGAGAGAGCACTATTAAAAACAAAGGGAATTGTAAAAGCATTGTTCACAGCACATATTGATGACACTAGCTTCTGCCATGATGATCATTAGCATTGGAATTCTGGCTACTGGATCTCCATCCCTAGAATATGGCAATATTGTATACCATATACATGGGTTGTATATAGTTCCATGTTCCAGTCTTGGTAATCGTACAGATAAGATGGGGTGCAACCATTGCAGTAATTGATTCCTTAGAAGAGGTGGCACTGGTTACCTCTACTGTATTCCAGCTACAGCTACTGCCTTTGTATCCCGACTCGATTTTTTTTTTTCGTAAGTCAGAGGACGTACTTGGTGCGGAACGTTGTGAAGAATTAACTTCTGATCTAGAACCATGGAGATTAGGTTTGTACAGTTGTGGCCAAAATTATTCAACCCCCAATGCTGTAAAGGGGTTTAGGACTATAGTGTACATTTGGAATTGTATTCAGAATCAAATCCTACAAGGACGTTGTAACTACCCAAATGCAACTAAAATGACATCAATTGTTTATGTAATACAGTAGTAAATGGTTCTTATGTGGTTTCTTCATTGCCACAATTATTCAACCCCTTAAAGACTACCACTCTGAAGAACAGAGGTTCATACAGGTGCTTTCCATCAGGTATTGAAAACACCTGTGGATGTCACCGAGCAGCAATCAAGCATAATAAGCACCAATTAGGCAGCTTTAAAATGACTGTGATACTCAGCTCCTTCTAGACATTTACTGGTGTGGTTACAAACATGGTGAAGGCAAGAGAATGGTCCAGGAAGACAAGAGAAGAGGTGATTTCTCTTCACAGGAAGGGCAATGGCTATAAGAAGATTGCAAAGATGTTAAACATACCAAAGAGACACCTTAGGAAGCATCATTCGCAAATTCAAGGCAAAGGGCACTGTTGAAACGCTACCTGGTCGTGGCAGAAAGAAGATGCTGACTTCGACTGCTGTGCGCTACCTGAAGCGTAGAGTGGAGAGAAGTCCCCGTGTGACTGCTGAGGAACTGAGAAAAGATTTGTCAGATGTGGGTACAGAAGTTTCAGCCCAGACAATAAGACGCACACTGCGTAATGAAGGCCTCCGTGCCAGAACTCCCAGGCGTACCCCCTTGCTGTCTCCAAAGAATAAGAAGAGTCGACTGCAGTATGCCAAAAGCCATGTGGACAAACCACAAAAGTTGTGGGATAGTGTTCTGTGGACTGATGAAACAAAATTAGAACTGTTTGGGCCCATGGATCAACGCTATGTTTGGAGGAGGAAGAACAAGGCCTATGATGAAAAGAACACCTTGCCTACTGTGAAGCATGGTGGAGGGTCAATCATGCTTTGGGGCTGTTTTGCTTCTGCAGGTACAGGGAAGCTTCAGCGTGTGCAAGGTACCATGAATTCTCTTCAGTACCAGGAGATATTGGATGGAAACGTGATGCAGTCCGTCACACACCTGAGGCTTGGGAGACGTTGGACCTTTCAACAGGACAATGATCCCAAGCATACCTCCAAGTCCACTAGAGCATGGTTGCAGAGGAAAGGCTGGAACATTTTGGAGTGGCCATCGCAGTCACCAGACTTAAATCCGATTGAGAACCTCTGGTGGGACTTAAAGAAAGCAGTTGCAGTGCGCAAGCCTAAGAATGTGACTGAACTGGAGGCCTTTGCCCATGAAGAATGGGCGAAGATACCCGTAGATCGCTGCAAGACACTTGTGTCAAGCTATGCTTCACGTTTAAAAGCTGTTATAACTGTAAAAGGATGCTGTACTAAGTACTAAGATTGAATGTCACTTGGGGGTTGAATAAAACTGATAATGCTGTGAGCACAGAAAAGACATTTGTGGTTATTTCATTATAACTGTTATGTTATATTTGTCTGACCTACAAGTGCCTCTTTAATGTAAATGTAAGCAAGATGACTGAATGATCAAAAGCAATGTCAAACTGGCCAAAACACTCAATTTCAGTGGGGGTTGAATAATTTTGGCCACAACTGTAGCTCAGTCCTGCTGCTGCTGTCTACAGTATTACTAACCTGAATTTTGTATTCAATATATTCCCTTGGAGTTGATTGCTTCCATGTGTATTTGCATTGTGTTAATCTGTAAGGCAGATTCTGAATTTAGTTTTGTCATTTTAAAAAATTATTAGTGGGTAGAGTAATTTTATTTTTTTTTCTGCTTTAGGTGGAAGATGAAAAGGGAATTTCACTACGTTTCCCACGTTTCCTTAGAATTCGAGATGATAAGAAACCAGAAGAAGCAACAAACAGTTATCAGGTACTGTAAAATATCTGTGTATGTGATCTTTCTTGCCTCTATACTGTTCCATAGTTACTCTCACTCCTGCTGGGTCTCAGAGACTGGAATCTTTATATCAGCATCACAGATTGTAACTATGTAAAAACAGAGTTTTCGTTTATGCAGTTGAATACATGGTCAAAGTTCATATATGTGAACGGTTTTACCTGTCATAAACACTATTTCGTGTTCGCTGCTCTGCAGCTTATTGTGTCACAGCTCACATATAACCTATTTGATGCATTGTTAATGAGCAACGCCATGCAGGTGAAGTTCTGTCCCTTCAGTGTACTTCCCCAACTGCCCATTGCCTAAATACCCTATTCAGCTCCAATAATGTAATACAGGTCGGATTGACCGTTCTGTTCCGTGCAATTGGAGGATTGTCTCCATGTAAACCTTCCCACGTCCATTCTTCCATTTTTCTGATGTTTAGTAGTATATGGGAGGCTAGCACAGGTACATTTCAGACACAGCAGGATTTAAAATAAAATACACAATAATTTTGACTGATTTCATAGATGAAGAGCAATTTGTATTTTATTAAAAGGGAAACAGTACAACTGTCACATCTAAAGACTGATAAGCCTCAATAATACATTTTTGTATTTGGCTTAGATACACTTTTTAGTTCGTGCCAAATAACTTAAACCTAACGTGATTTTTTTTTTTAGAAGTAAACAGGCTAAAAGTACAGTATGCTTTCTGGTGCAAGTAGTGATAGTAAAACAAATGGTAAGCTAATGCACACCCAAATCACAACATCAGTGTGTAAGCGGGTAATTACATGAATACAGCTGCTGGAACCATATATTGTAGTGGTCTCCAAACTACAGACATGAATTATCTCACTGACACCAACAATGGGGCATAATTCCTGCTACTGACAACAATGGGCATGATTCCTCCCACTGACACCAATGATGGAGCATGGAGCATGATTCCTCCCACACTGACACCAATGATGGAGCATGATTCCTCCCACTGACACCAATGATGGAGCATGATTCCTCCCACTGACACCAATGATGGAGCATGATTCCTCCCACTGACACCAATGATGGAGTATGATTCCTCCCACTGACAACAACGATGGAGCATTATTCCTTCCACTGACACCAACCATGAGGCATTATTTCTCCCACTGACACCAACCATGAGGCATTATTTCTCCCACTGACACCAACCATGAGGCATTATTTCTTCCACTGACACCAACCATGAGGCATTATTTCTTCCACTGACACCAACCATGAGGCATTATTTCTCCCACTGACACCAACCATGAGGCATTATTTCTCCCACTGACACCAATGATGGGGCACAATTTCTTCCACCAACACCAACCATGAGGCATTATTCCTCCCAGTGACACCAACGGGGCACAGTTCATCCCACTGACAGCAACAATGGGGTATTATTCCTGCTACTGACATCAATAACAGGCATTATTTTTTCCACTGACACCAATGTTGGGGTATGATTCCTCCCACTGACATCAACAGTTGGGCACTATTCCTTCCACTGACACCAACCATGAGTCGTCATTCATGCCACGGACAACAACCATGAGGAACTATTCTTCCCACTGACACCAACAATGGGTCATGATTCCTCCCACTGACACCAACAATGGGGCATTATTCTTCCCACTGACACCAACAATGGGGCATGATTCCTCCCACTGACACCAACGATAGGGCATGATTCCTCCTGCTGACACTAACCATAGGGCACTATTCCTCCCACTGACACCAACGAGTGGGACATTATTTCACTTACTGACGCCAACAATAGGGCACAATTCTGCATACTGACACCAACAATAGGGAACTTTTCTTCCCATTGACACCAACAGGGCACCATTTCTCCTACTAACACCAACAACGGGGCACGATTTCTTCTAATGACACCAATGATTGGGCACTATTTCTCCCATGGACACCAACAATGGAGCCCTATTCCTCCCCCTAATATCAAAGATGACTTGTTTACTCTCACTGACGCCAAGTCAATTTCTACTTCCAGTGGCTACAGTCCTGCCCTCCTAAATATAGAAATGAAAATGTAATCTCATTTGAGAGAGAGGTTTGCCTCTCCCTCATCCTGAGTGTTCGCATGTGAGCTGAAGATTTTTTTTCTGGGTTTTTTATTTTGATCTCTTCCGTGATCTATAAAAAATATATTCTAGTTTATCTAGATAGAGGAACTGTGTGGACTACTGTATGTGTACTCTGTTGAACTGTTTTGTCTTTATACAGTATGATGCTTTCTTTCACATGTATTAATAGTAATTTGCATGCAACTGATCAGGATTTTTTTTTTAATACAAGCTAAACTCATGGCAAACGGCTAAGTACAGTGGGGAAAATAATTATTTGATTCACTGCAGATTTTGTAATTTTTCCCACTTACAAAGAAATTAGTGGTCTATAATTTTTATCACAGGTGTATTTTAAATGATAGACAGAATATCAACCAAAAATACTGAAAAAAACAGGATACAAATGTTATAAATTGAGTTGTAGTTCAGTGAGTAAAATTTGTATTTGTTCCCCTACCAACCAACAATAATTCCGGCTCCCACAGACTGGCTATGTGCTCATGTGGTACACAGATTAATCCTGTTAATTTAAGAAGTTGCTCCTAACAGCAACATGTTATGTGTATAAAAGACACGTCCACAGAATCTTTCTTCCATTCAAACCTCACAATCATGGGCAAGACCAAAGAGCTGTCAAAGAACATCAGGGACAAGATTGTAGACCTGCACAAGGCTGGAATGGGCTACAAGACCATCAGCAAGAAGCTTGGATAGAAGGAGACAACTGTTGGAACGATCGCAAATAGAAGAAATCCAAAATAGTGATCAGTTGCCCTCGGTCTGGAGCTCCATGCAAGGTTCCGCCTCATGGGGTAAGGATGGTCATGAGAAAAGTGAGTGATCAGCCAGAACTATACAGGAGGAGCTTGTGAATTATCTCAAGACAGTTGGGACCACAGTCGCCAAACAAACCATTGGTAACACAATACGCCACTATGGATTGAAATCCTGCAGTGTCTGCAAGGTCCCCCTCCTCAAGAAGACACATGTACAGGCCCTTCTAAAGTTTGTGATTGAACATCTAAATGATTCAGAGAAGGATTGGGAGAAAGTGCTGTGGTCAGATGAGATCAAAATTGAGCTCTTTGGCATTAACTCGACTCGCCGTGTTTGGAGGAAGAAAAATGCTGACAATGACCCTAAGAACACCATCCCTACAGTCAAGCACGGAGGTGGAAACATTATGTTTTGGGGCTGTTTCTCTGCTAAAGGTACAGGACAACTTTGCCGCATTGAGGGGCCAATGGACTGAGCCATGTATTGTAAAATCTTGGATGAGAACTTCAGCCACAACACTGAAGAAGGGTCGTGGATGGGTCTCCCATCATGATAATGACCCAAACATACTGCTAAAGACAACAAAGGAGTGGCTCAAGAAGAAACACATTAGGGTCATGGAGTGGCCTAGCCAGTCTACAGACTTTAATCCTATAGAAAATTTATGGAGGGAGCTGAAACTTCGAGTTTCCAAGTGACAGTCAAGAAAACTTAATGATTTAGAGAAGATCTCTAAAGAAGAGTGGACCAAAATCCCTCCTGAGATGTGTGCAAACCTGGTAACCAACTACAAGAAACATCTGACCTCTGTGCTTGCCAGTAAGGGTTTCTTCACCAAGTTCTAAGTCATGTTTTGCATGGGGGTCAAATACTTATTTTACTCACTGAACTGCAACTCAGTTTTTTAACATTTGAATCGTGTGTGTTTTCTGGATTTTTGGTTGATATTCTGCCTCTATCATTTAAAATAACACTATGATAAAAATTATTGACTCTTCATTTAATTTTAAGTGGGCAAATTTACAAGATCTGCAGGGGATCAAATAATTATTTTCCCCCCATTGTATACATATATGGTGCTTTTATCTGTCACAGGATTTGTACTTCTGTCCATCCAGTTCTGAGATTTACACATGCTCTGCCACACAGAACAGCACTATCTGACAGGATAGGGGACCTGTTTTTTGCTTGTTGAAATTAACCACTTGCCCTCCTGAGGATTTACCCCCCTTAATGACCAGGCCTCTTTTTGCTACTCGGCGCTGCACTAATTCAACTGATAATTGCGCGGTCATGCAATGCTGCACCCAAATGAAATTTACGTCCTTTTTTCACACAAATTGAGCTTTCCTTCTGTGGTATTTGATCGCCTGTGCGGTTTTTATCTTTTGCGCTATAAAAAAAAAAAAAGGCTGACAATTTTGAGGAAAAAAAATATTTTGGACTTTTTGCTATAAAACATGTCCAGTAAAAAAAAATGTAAAAATCAAATTTAGTCATAAATTTCTGCCAAAATGTATTCTGTGACATGTCTTTGCTAAAAAAAAAAAACAAAAACAAAAACAATGTGTAAATTAATTGGTTTACGTGAAAGTTATAGCGTTTACAAATGGCGGGAAAGATACTGGGATTTTTAATTTTTTTTTATACTAATAATGGCGGCGATCAGCAACTTATGGCAGGACTGCGGCGGACATTCTGACACTGAGGGGGGAACTGACTTGGGGTCACTGACATCCCCATTGACACCAATACAGTGATCAATACAAAAAAAACAAAACACTGACACTGTACTAATGGCACTGGGGAGGAAGGGGTTAACTTTTTTATTTACTGAAACGGTTAACTGTGTGAAGGGAGTGTTTTACTAGGGGGCGGGGGTGTGTACTGCACAGGAACAAGGCTGATCCGGAGAGATACTCTTCTCTCCGGATCAGCATGTCAGGAGCTGATGGGACTGACAGAAAGCACAGCTGCAGTGTAAACACTGCAGCTGTCCTCTCTGTCAGTGCTTGCCGCTAATTGCCGTGACCCGGCGACTGACACCCACGGCCGTGATCAGCGGGACGGGTAGGGCGGGCACGCGCCTTGCGCGCGTCCTCTACCTGTTTTGCAAACGCACGTTTTAAAACGTGATTTTGCCCAGTCGTGCCGACCTGCCACCGTATTTCTACAGTGGCTGGTCGGCAAGAAGTTAAGTAACACTTACAGGCCTTGGCCTTCTTCCAGTCTATGACTGGACAGTTTTATATCTATTTGGGGAAGTGTTAAGCTAAAATGTTGCTTTTGAATAGTTACACATTTGTGTTTGGTTTTTTTTCTTCACATTTATGACTTAACCGTTGCATCCAAAACATTTCCTGCATAAAAAAAGTGCACACAAATGACTTGATAACTATGTATAGAGAAATCTTTAAATCCCTTTAAAGACTACGGAATATATCTGCATGCTTTTTTTAATCTATAAAAGATCCTAAATTTAAATTTTAAAACCAGCAGCTGTTTTAAATGCACAACTGATTGTGTGTGCTGGAAGGAATAATGCTGATGCACCGATTCCTGTGCATCAGCTGGTTCCTTTTATTATGTTCTTTTGACCGAAGTGCAGTGTGGTGGGTCGCGTTGCACCATGCATGTTGTACTATCTTTCAGCACATACCACCAAAGCACAATGGTTTGAACTGGTCTCATATGACTCAAGCACAGTCACAAAGTACCTGGTGTGAACAGCCCTAAGAGTATTGGTCTTTCTGCAGCAGTCTGACATGTCCCTCATTGCAGTGCTTTAGCTCTGGATGCAGCAGGGGGTGTGTTGGACCACTGCAGGTAGAACACTGCATTCACTCAGGGTAGTCCGTTTCTGTAGCCTGTTTTCTGTGATTTCAGTTTTTGTGCTGCAGAAAATTTTACCTACATAGAATTTTGACACATTTATGTTTAGTTTTTTGTTCAAGATTACTTGATTGAATGCATTTACCTCCCTTTTTAAGCTTTGAATGGGCTTAAGGCCTGGTTCACACCTATGCCTTTTTCAGTGCATTTTCAACATTGCAGAAATGCACTACAGTCCATTTAACATGGTTTCCTATGGGTCACATTCTTTAACCACTTGCCTACTGGGCACTCTTACCCCCTTCCTGCCCAGGCCAATCTTCAACTTTCAACGCTGTCACACTTTGAATGACAATTGCGTCGTCATGCAACACTGTACCCAAACTAAATTTTTATCTTTTTTTTTTTTTTTTGAGACACAGCTTTCTTTTGGTGGTGTTTAATCACCACTGGGGTTTTTATTTTTTGCTAAACAAACAAAAAAAGGCCAAACATTTTGAAAAAAAAAAAGTTTTTCTTAGTTTGTGTTAAGTTTTGTAAATAAGTGACTTTTCTCCTTCACTGATGTGCATTGAGGAGGCGGCACTGATGTGCATTGAGGAGGCGGCACTGATGTGCACTGAGGAGGCCGCACTAGGGAGGCACTGATGGGCACTCCCGGGGGGTTCTGGGAGGACGTCCATGGCTATAGCACAGTCAGGAAGTGGTTAAAAAGGATCATGTACTTTTTTCCCATAGCAGGTTATGGTCTTGGTTACATAGACTTTAATGGAAATCGCACCAGAAACGCATCGAAAATGCAATGCTTGCATTTTTTATGTTTTTTTTTTTTTTAATCAGTTGCGTTTATTGCAATTGTACAAAAATACAAAAAATAAATACAAGAGCATTTTGTATGTTTTTTTGCTGGTTTCTCCCACAAGACAACAGGCACCTCCCCAAAATGCATTAAAAACCATTGTAGAAAAATGCAAAGGCATCAACCGTAAACTGCATAGATGTGAACCAGGCCTTAACCACTTCCCACCCGGCCCATGTATATAAACGGCTGGACGGGAGCAGTGCAGGGGAGGGTGGCTGTTTATAAACGTCCTCCCTGCTTGTGCGCACTCCCTGGGAGCGCACAGCACCGATCGTTGTACGGGACCTCAGTGTGAGGTCCCGATCATGTGATCACTGATTGACCAATCAGTGATCACATGAAGAGTAGTAAGCAATGATGTCACTTCTGACATCATTGCTTACTACTAGTGAAATCTGTGAATGATCACAGAGATCACATGCTACAATGCTACAAGGCTATTCACCAATCACCAGCTCACACAGCATTTCTCAATGGCTGCAAGAATGCAGCCAGAGATCAGGAGAAATTATTGCTTTTACAGCCTTTATGGGTATAAAAGCAATCAGTGTAAAAAAAAAAAAATCTTCATCACCTCCCACAAGTAGTACAGTCCCTATGATGACTCTACTGCTAGGGTGACAGTATGTAAAAAAAAAACATATAAAAATGTAAAAAAAATTTTTTGAAAATTTTTAATATTTGGTTATAACCTAATTTGGGTTATTTTTTTTTTTTTTTTTACTAAAAAGATAATTGAATAAATTTTGGACAAGATTCATGAAGAAAGATTATTTGCAAAACTTTATAAGAAAAACACTTCTTTTTAAAATTTTTGGACTTTTTCATTTATATAGCAAAAAAAATAAAAATCCCAGTGGTGAATAAATACTAACAAAATAGAGTTTTATCTGGCTCAAAAAAATGCAAAACAATTCATATGGGTACAGCATTGCATCACTGCGCAATTGCAATTCAAAATGTGACAGCGCTGAAATCTGAAAATTGGCCTGGACAGGAAGGGGATAAAAGTGCTTAAAGTGAACCTGTGCTTTCTTCGGACAAAGCAACAAGTCCTCCTTCTGGGAGGACATCCATGGCTAAAGCGCAGTCGGGAAGTGGTTAAAAAGGATCATGGACTTTTTTCCCACAGCAGGTTCTGGTTCTGCTCTTGGATACATAGACTTTAATGGAAACAAAGCAAAATGCAGTGCTTGCATGTTTTTGCTGGTTTCTCCCACAAGACAACAGGCACCTCCCCAAAATGCATTAAAAATTATTGTGAAAAAATGAAAACGCATCAACCCGCAAACTGCATAGATGTGAACCTGTGCTTTCTTCGGACAAAGCAGTAAGTTTGCTTCAAAGCCAGCCACCCACAGCAGCTTATACTCTTTCATTTGCAGCAAGTAGTCTAGTCTAAGCTTTCTCAAGGTTGCAGACTATCTTCCTGCCCCAATGGGAAAACACTGGATGCCTAAGCTGCCACTTGACAAGTATCAGTGCTGTCATGTGGGAGGAAGGGGAGAAAGTCACATACCTAGAAGTACCCAATGTTTCTCTCTAAGGTACCATAGGCAAATGAACAGTGGGTGAGTGAAGGAAAGGGGTGTCTATGCTGCTGTGCAGGTCACGCTTAATGTAAACCTGTTGTTTATGTAAGATTTGGGGGGGGGGGGTTATTTGTGAACTATTTTATTGAGAACTGGCTTCTCATTGAAATATAACATTTCCTATATTTTTTTTTATTTCAGGTTGCTGAGCTTTATAAGAAACAACAACAAATACAGAACACAACTGCAGAGAAAGGAGATGATGATTTCTATTAGATTTGTGTAAATTGAAGAACTCCAGGAAAGTATGCACTTTTAAAAATGTGCTGGCTTATATGGGTTTAAGTCCAAGAATGTGTAAGCCACCTCATGGACTTATCTTTTATTTACAATTTGCTCTTTTATAGAGTTCCAGGAGTATACTATCACTATACTCCCAACTCTGCTACACAGCAGCTGCTCTGCTTGCTTCTCCTCCCCTCTGCTGCATAAACCACAGAATACTTTATATTTTGTGAATGGGTTCACATGAGGTAAAGTGCTTTGTGATTGGACAGGAAGAAAGGAGGGGCGGGCAGAGCTTCTCCAAACAATATACAGCTTCTGTGGAAGAGACATGACGGTCCAATGTCTTAGATCCGAATGTATACCGATAGCTATAGTCTCAACACTCTGTAAAAGTGTAAACAAAAGATAAGTTCACAAGGCAGCCTACATCTTGCTGGACTTGACCCATTATAAGTCAGCACATTTTTAATGTACATACGTTCCTGGAGTTATTCTTCAGCTATATGTTAATGTGATAAATGAATAAATGTGTCTGGAACATTATGGTCATGTACCGCCATTATCTAATATATCCCATCATTCTATTTAGTATTGCTAGATTTCTGGCAAATAAATGTAACTGTCACCATTTAGCAAGCATACCTTTTTATGTGTAAAACAAATGAAGAAAGGGCGCACCTGCCTAGTGCATGCATTACCTGAGAAGTAACTTTATTATATCCAAATGAGATATGTACTAACAAACAAAACAACTGTAGTATCAAAGGCATATCAATATCCAAAGCGACTGAGTCACCAGGTCAGCTCCCAAACACGAGAGGACCCACAAATGGCTGACTCGTTTAGAGGGGTAATCCCCTCTTCCTCAGAGCCAGAGTCATTGGCTCTGAGGAAGAGGGATCACCCCTCGAAAGGCATCAGCCATTTGAGGGTCCTCTTGTGTTTGGGAGCTGACCTGGTGACTCGGTCTCTCTCGATATTGATATGCCTTTGATACTACAGTTGTTTGTGAGTATGTACAGTTGGGTCCATATATATTTGGACACAGGCACAGTTTTAGATTTTTTTCAGGTATTTACCAAAGCATATTCAAGCTATAGTTCTATAATGGATATGGGCTGAATGTGCACACTGTCAGGTTTAATTTGAGGGTATGTACATCCAAATTGGAGGAAGGGTTTAGGAATTACAGCTCTTAAGAGTAGCCATCCCCCCTTTTTCAAGGGACCAAAAGTAATTGGACAAATGAATATAATCATAAATAAAATGTTCATTTTTAATATTTTGTTGAGAATCCTTTACTGGCAATGACTGCCTGAAGTCTGGAACCCATGGACATTACCAAAGACTGGGTTTCCTCCTTTCTGATGCTTTGCCAGGCACTAACTGCAGCTGTCTTCAGTTCTTTTTGTGGGTCTTTCTGCCTTTAGTTTTGCCTTCAGCAACTGAAATGCATACTCTGTTGGGTTGAGATCAGGTGATTGACTCGGCCATTGCAGAACATTCCACTTCATTTCCTTAAAAGCTCCTCGGTTGCTTTTTGCAGTGTGTTTTGGATCATTGTCCATCTGTACTGTGAAGCGCCACCAAATCATCTTTGCTGCATTTGGTTAAATCTGGGCTGACGTTATATCTCTAAATACTGCAGAATTCATCTGGCTGCTTCTGTCTTCTGTCACATCATCAATAAACACCAATGACCCAGTGCCAGTGGAAGCCATGCATGCTCATGCCGTCACAATGCCTCCACCATGTTTTACAGATGACGTTGTGTGCTTTTGGATCATGAGCTGTTCCAAGCCTTCTCCACACTTTTTTTTCCTGTCATTCCGGTACAGATTAATCTGAGTTTAGTCCATCCAAAGAATACTTTTCCAGAACTGGTGTGGCTTTTTAGGATGTAATTTGGCAAAGTCTAATCTGGCTTTTCTATTCTTCAGGCTTATGAATGGTTTGCACCTTGTGGTGAACCCTCTGTATTTGCTCTCGTGAAGTCTTCTCTAGATTGTAGACTATGACAATGATACGCCCACCTCCTGGAGAGTGTCCTTCACTTGTCTGGATGTTGTCTGGATGTTGTGAATGGGTTTTTTCTTTACCATAGAGAGGATCCTGCAATCATCCACCACTGTTGTCTTCCATGGACGTCCATGCCTTTTTATGTTGCTGAGCTCACCAGTGCGTTCTTCTTTCCTCAGAATGTACCAAACTGTTGATTTGGCCACTCCTAATGTTGCTGCTATCTCTCTTATGGATTTGTTTCATTTTTGAATCCTTACAATGGCCTGTTTCACTTGCATGGGCAGCTCCTTTGAACGCATGATGTTGGTTCACAGCAATAGATTCCAAATGCAAATACCACACTTAGAATCAACTCCAGACCTTTTACCTGTTTAATTGATGAGGAAATAATGATGGAGTAGCCCACACCTGGCCATAAAACAGATTCAATTGTCCAATTACTTTTGGACCCTTGAAAAAAGGGGGGGGGGTGGCTACTCTTAAGAGCTGTAATTCCTAAACCCTTCCTCCAATGTGGATGTACATACCCTCAAATTAAACCTGAGAGTGTGCACTTTCAGCCAATATCCATAATAGAACTATAGCTTGAATAGTGTTTGGTAAATACCTGAAAAAACTAAAACTGTGCCTGTGTCCAAATATATATGGACCTGCCTATCTCTTTTGGATTTAATAAAGTTATTTCTCAGGTAATGCACTAGGCTGGTGAGCCCATTCTTTTCTTGTTTTATAGTGAGTCCTTTCGGTTTCCCCTGACCCTCAGAGGGCAGCAAGGCCTGTGCTGGCATTGGATGCACTAAGAACCTGAAGTTCCTTTACTGCCTTACTACTCTTGAGCGCAGGGGACGATGTTCTTGTCTTTTCGGCTGTATACATTTTATATGGCCTACAAATGCTGATGGTTGGTACTTTTTCATTTTTATTGGATGTTTTGCATTCCTACATACCATGAGAAACAGTCAAAATATCTTTTTAAGATAATGAATAATTATCATCTTCACATCAGCATATAATGTTATACCTGTATATTTATGCTTTTTTTTTCCAAATCAGTTGCTTTAACATCATTCCTGTGCATTGTTTGTGTAAAGATAGCCATACACTATACAATCTGATTGTACAATCTCCTTTGGAGTTACCAGAATTATGTAATAGGAGAACACACCTAAACAACCCATTCGCTTTCCATCAGATTAGGCGGACCCCTAGACTACATTGATAGACTAAAGATGATTGTACAATCTGTTTATATAGTGTATTGTCACCTTAAGCATTGCATTGTATAATTATTTTTTTTTTATAAGATACTACTGAAATATTTTTTGAAAATAAAGAAACTGAATTGTCAGAACTATACTGTGTGTGTTTATTCATTATCACTTTTGCAGCATCTTTCCATCTACAACTCCATGTATACACAATAAAGGTGTATTCCCTTTTTTCCTTTTCTGAGACTGCATGGATGGAAAGCTTTTCTCATCCTACTTGATGGGAGAAAGACAAAAGAAAACCCTTTCAAAGTTTAGGTCTGATTTTTTTTTTAACCGCATCATAGGTTTGGGATTGACAGTATGGAGTTGGGTCCAATACTTTTTACATTGCTATGGCATCTTTGAAGAAATGT